CAACTGCCCTTGTTTATGAATTCTGAGAAAATCTGGAGAATCGCATGGTGGACATAGGTGACAGGTCACATGATGTTTGTCCTTATCCTGCAGCACCTTCTCAGCTCACCCAGGTGTGCACCATTTCTCTCATTAAAATTTCTCAACACCACCCCCCCCTCAAGAAGAAAGTCCCACAAGCTCTTAAAAGACCGTATTTGACCCTGAGGCTTGGTCTTTGTGGACATGTTGTGATTTGTTGGACGCCTGTTCAGGATAATGGTTCCGTGGCGATCTCTGAGCACCCAAGTATCCAAAAGTACAAAAGGTTTAGTCCAAGAACAATCACAGCTATTGTGAGAAAGAGGAGGAGATATTTTGTCTTCAATGTTTTAGTCAAACAAGGCCTACCTAGGAGAATAAGTGTCGAGGGCTGGTCAGATCGGTCAACTTTCTCAAGTGGCTTTTAAAAACTAGGGTGCCTGGATGGCTCAGTGGATTAAGCCTCTGCCTTCGGCTCAGGTCATGATCTCAGGGTTCTGGGATCAAGCCCTGCATCGGGCTCTCTGCTCAGCGGGGAGCCTGCTTCCCCCTCTCCCTCTGCCTTGATCTCTCTCTGTCAAATAAATTAAAAAAAAAAAACTTTTTAAAAAAGCAAAAAAAAAAGTAAAACTAATGGTTGGTTTTACCTCTTTTTTGGGTCAGAGTAAATTACAGGTACACAATTTTTTATACAGATTTTATTTATTTATTTGAGAGAGAGAGAGAGCATGAGCAGGGTGAGGAGCAAAGGGAGATGGAGAAGCAAACTCCCTGTTGATCATGGAGCCCATGGGGACTCAATCCCAGGACACCGGGATCATGACCTGAGCTGAAGATACTTGCTTTACTCACTGAGTCACCCAGGTGCCCCCAGGTACACAACTTTTAAATAATTCTTAGCTAGGGTGGAAATTCTTGTACCAACCAGTGACACCCAGAGTATTGGATGTCTTCTGAGAATTTAATACATAAGGTTCCTAATCAGGTATTGGTTACCTGGGAGTTTGGGTTAAATGCATGAGATGCCTGAAAAACAAATGCAAAAAAGTGGAACCTATTAACTTTTCACAGTCTACATAAAGTTCTTGGTGTACCAATTCACGCAAAATGTACAAACTTTGTAATCATACAGGTCATTTTCCTTGCCTTGTACTTTATAGTTGTCCTATGCCTTATATCTACATGTTACAGACCCCAAAACATAGTTTTTGCTTTAAATGCTCCTGTATTTTAAAGAAACAAGGAGGAAAAAACCAGTGTTCTATATTTACCTACATAGTTTCCATTTCCAGGGCTCCTTTTTACTCTCTAAAGATCTGTGATTTCATCTGGGATCATTGTACCTTTAGTCTGAGACCTTCCTCTGGCTTCTCTTACAGGGCAAGGCCTACGGGCAATCCATTCTCTTAGTTTCATTTAACTGACATTGTGTTTTTCCTCTCATTCTTGGAGAGTATTTTCATAGGACATGGGTTTTATGGGATTCTGGGTGGACAGTATCATCAACGCCACTACCATCATTATCATGGTATTCCAACATGAAGGGGGTCCACTGTCTTCTGGCCTCCCTTACTTCTCAGGAGAAGTCAGCATGTTATACAAGCTTGAATTAAATGAAGGTTCTTTAAGATTCCCAGCTTTCTACAGATAAGAAACAGGTTGGCAGAGAAGATTATCCTACTATAGACACAGATGGTTTCCTATGGAAAAGGACAGATGATTCAGAAACCAGAGCCCAAAGCCCAGAGGGTGGTAGGGAGAGTCATGAAGAACGACTTCCAGGGACTCCAGACAAGCCACACTCCCTGCTTCCAGTCAGAGAAAGTAGCACCATGTGCCCAGCTGGATTTCAGAACTGCTATGGACCAGCGACGCTTTGTGTGGTTACAGATGATGGCTGCCCTGTCCCTTCCTCGCCGTGTGTATGTTGGGATCCCAGAATGGGATGAGGCTTCGGGGGCATTGGGCACACCTTGCAGTGTATTTCCTGTGTTTCCTAACTTGACTCTCTGAAGTTAATGATTGCTTTTGTTGGTGGTGTTCATTTCCTTTGTACTACCCACACTTTCCTGTTCTGCACAAGGTCAGTCCCATTAGGGACTACATCAGTTGCTCCTTCTCCTTGTTCACCACATCCCTCCATGAGATGCCCTCCTCTCCTGGACATCCCATTAGCCGTTATCCTTGGAATGCCGTTTGCCCTTCTCCTGGAGTGTACTCCCTGTCCTGGATCTCACGTCTTCCTCTGTCTCGGCTTCCATCTTGTTTTGGTGGAGCACATCCTTTCGTCATTTCATGAGACTGAAAAGAGCATGCAGCGGCAGATGGCATGATGGTAACGATGTTGGCATTCCTGTTGCTTATGTCCCAGTGTCCCAGTGAGGACTCCCTGCCCTCTCTGCTCCGGAGCACAGCTGTCCTTCCAGCTCCCCCTCACCAGCATCCTAGAGGGTTCCTTCACCGCTCTTCTGCGTTGGAGCTCCGTGTTCCGCAGCACACATTTCTTAAATTCCTTGCTGCACCCCCACAGTCAGACAGCATCTCTCCTCCAGTAGCTTCCCAAGGACAGTGCATGGGGGCTACATTTTTTGAGATGCCCCATGTCTGAAAATGTCTTTATTTGACTCTCATATTCATGGAGAGTGTGGTGGTTATTGCTTCTTACTGACTGGTATCTTTCCCTCTTCCTTTCTATTAACAAACTATCCTGGGGGCACCCCGGTGGCTTGGCCAGTTAAGCATCAGCCTTTGGCTCGGGTCATGATCTTGGGGTCCTGGGATGACCACACAAGTCAGGCTCTCTACTCAGTGGGGAGCCTTCTTCTCCTTCTCCCTCTCCCACTCCCCCTGGTTGTGCTCTCTCTCTTTCTCTCTCTCAAATAAATACATAAATACAATCTTTATTTTTAAAAAAATTCTGTCCTATGGCCATGTGGCGGCATTTGACCAGCCTGGGGCGATCACACGGCCAGGAGACAAGTTGGCCATTTAATGTCCTTTCCTGGGGTGGTTCATCTGAATGGGACAGAAAAGGAGCTCTGTTCCTCTCAGCTGGCTTTCCTTAGGGGAAGACATTCTGGCCGGCAGCCACATTCCTGGCTTGGGGAGTCATCCTGGGCACCGCAGAGAGAGGTAGAGAGCATCCTGGGGACAGAGAGCCAAAGGCAGCCACCCGGGGTCCTGCCTCTCTTCCTTCAACTGGAACATCGCAGCAAGGTCGCACGGAATGGGTCCCACCAAGCCACCAAATGTTCCATGAACATTCCTTGTGTTCCACGAATCTAAGCTGCCTTCCTGTCACTTGCTTTCGAAAGAAATCACCTGATCACAGACATGTTCTGTGAGTATGCTGAACATTGTGCCCCCTTTTCTTTTGGATGCTGGACGATATTGCTGCTGTTGTTCTAGAACTGAAAACGTCTTTATACTTGGGAATTCTACTCATGGCCAGACTAGTTTCTGTTTTGTTGATTTGTTTGGTGTTTCTTGTTTGTTTGTCTGTTTTTGCCATATAAACACAACGTGGCCCACTAACACGTTACTGCTTACTCTGTATTTCGGAGTTTCCTCTTGGAATAGCCTGCCAGTAGCCAAGTCGTTGCATCAAAGGAAATAACTTTTAAAAAGCTGAAGCCACGGACCGACCAGCCGGCTGCCGGGAGAGCTGCGCCCACCAGCCGGCCCACTTCCGCACGGCCCGACCGGCAGCATTCCTCGGCCACCTGCTAACTCCCGCCGGGAGAACCGGCCTCTCCCGGCTGGCTCTGATTTGCATTTACTTGATTAAGGAGGCCGGACCTTTCTCAGTAAAGCCTATTAGTCAAATTGGTTGTCGTTTTGAAACACTTTCCACAGTTCACGATTAGCCATTTTTCCCTGTAAAGCATGCCTCGTGGTCTCCGCGCTGGGAGCTGCGTCTGTTTCGTCCGCCTCGACAGTCCCGGTGGCTGGGTCGGTGGTGGCGGGCACCGCCTGCGCTCAGGAAACCGTGCGCAAGGACGAACCCGCGAGCGAACTGGGGGTGACGACCCCCCGCTGGGGGACCGAAGCGAGAACCCGGGGCGGGGCGGGGTGCCCGGGAGACACCGCATCCGCGCGCCCCGCGCTGCAGCCCGCGGCCACCAGGGGGCAGGCCCGCGCCGACCGTCTGCGCCACGCGGGCCGGGGCCGGGGGCCGCCGCACACCCCGCGCGCCCCGAGGCGGGCGACCCCGGCCCCACTCACTCCCAGTCCGCGCCCGCACCCGCTGCGCAGGCGGGAGAACCGAGACGGGGCTCCGTCCGCAGACCGGCGACCACCCGCCGGGGCTGGCGGGGTCGACCGCACCCGGTCCCGAGCCGGGACCCCGCGGCCCGGGCGGGGAGTGGCTGCCCCAGCTCCGAGTCCGGCCCTGACGTCAGCCCCGTGCCCCAAATAACTTCCTCTGGAGACTCTTCCGCCGCGGCCGCACGTCCCGGAGCCCGGCAGCCGCGCCCACCGGCCGGGTCTTCCCAGAACGCGCTTCCGCCCCGCCCGCCCCGGCCCTCGGGTGCCGGGAAGCCCCCCCCCCCCCCCCCCCCCCCCGCCCCCCGGGGGGCGGGGGCCCCCCCCCCCCCCCCCCCGGCCCATGGCGCGCGGGAGAAGGGTGCAGCCCCGGGGAGGGGACGGGGGTCGGGCCCACCCTAGTTGGGGGGGTGGGTCCCGGGACGCAGGTTCTCCCGGGGCAAGGGCTGTGAGGGATGCTGGGGTCAGCTAGGGATACTGCCCCCACACCCGCAGTGCACCCCCGCCCTTCGTTCGGTAAGCACCGGTGACCCGGACTTCTCCGTTTCCCCGTCCTCATCAGGGTAAACCACAGACCTGATGCCCTGATACCAAGTTGGTGCTCAATAAATCAATGAATGAAACAATCAATGAATGAATGAAACAGGGAGGGTGGTGGGCCTGCTCCCGTCAGCTTATGTGGGGCCTGTGGCCAGTTGGGGGGTGTCTGGTCAGTGATGGTGGAATCCCAGACCACAAGCACCCAAATGGGGCGGGCACACCCCTACCCCAAGACTCTAAGGTATTTTGGGCCAAGGGGTCTGCTCTCTCCGGGTTCAGGCACAGGTCATGGAGAAGTTGGAGTTCTGGGGCACCTCCTTCCGCTGAGAGGAACTGGGCAGGCCAGGCCAACAGGTCCAGCGGCATAGCCAAGCCGACACTCACCTCCAGCATAAAACCCCACTTCATGGAGCCCTGCACCTTGAGCCGGTGCTCACGGACCTCCGGCTCCCACTGCGCCCCCGCCCGGTGCCCCCGCCAGGCTGAGACCATGAGGTGGCGGCCAGCCATGGCCCTGCTCCTGTGGTTTGGTGAGTACTGGGTGCTGCAGGAAGGTGGTCCGCCTCCTGCCCAGAGGGGCGCCTCCTGGGCTGCCTGGGGCTCGAGAAAATCCCCCACTCCCCAGCCAGACCTGGGGCTGCAGCACCGGCCTCCCTTTCCCACCCAGCGGGCATTGCTGGGCAGGTGGGAAGGCTCCAAGGTTCACTCTTGGGGCAGCGACGTGCGGAAGGCAGGATGAGGCTGGGGGCACAGGTCCAGGAGGACCCTGTGGCAGAAACATGTGAGGGGCTCTCCTCCCTTTGTGCCCCCCCCCGTTCTCTCTGTTGCTCACGGGCCAAGCTCTGGATTTGGGGTTTCTGCTTCCTCCCATCTCAGTCTCTTCCCATCCCCAGATAAAGACATGGGGCTGCATGTGTGCAGGATCTGGACTTGGGGCCCCCGGGTTCCAAAGCCTTGGATCACCTTGTGCTGGGGAGGGGGAGGGGTGGCTGAGATGCCACCTGAGCCTGGGAACCCTCAGGAGGCGGGAAGGGGTTCACCGTAGAGTGGGGGGCGAGGGGTGCAGGCTCTTGCCCCCGCCAGGCAAGGAGGATGTGTGGGGAGGAGCAAGGCCTCCCTCTCTTTCCCCTCTCCCAACCCTGGGTCAGGGTCAGCAGGTGCCAGCCAGAGGGACCCACCTGCCAGGCCCCTTCCCACAGGGCAGGCTGCTCCCTGCCCAGGAAACACTCCCGCATTCCTGGGCTAGCCTGGCCGGCCTGGTGCCACCTCACTTCCCTGTCCTCAAGTCACCTCCCAGGGCCGGGCCAGGTCACTCCAGCCTTCGACTCTGCCGGGGCTCCGGGCTTCCTACCAGGGGTCAGAGGACACCAGGGTGGCACTTCAGTGGGGAGGCCCCCATCTCCCCAGGCTCCACGGGGCCTCCCCAACCCTCGCTGCCTGGCTTCTGCCTCCTGGCTTCCTGGCACAGGGATAATGACATCTTTGGAGGGAGCCCATTTCCCCTTGGGGTGTAATGCCATGATTGCTCCTAATGGGGTGAGTAATCACGGTCATTGCCAAAGTGGAAACAGCAGTGTGCATCCACAAACAGCTGCGAGCAGGAGCTGTGGGCTCCTTCAATGCCATCCTCACCCCCCACCTACTAGAACCTTGGGTCTCTCCCATCCCCACCAGCCGAGCCCGACCAGCTATAGGAGGATGGGAACATTGGCCCAAACGGGGGGCGCCTGACACCCCAGGTGGCTCACGCAGCCCCTGACAGGACACCCACCCTGCAGAGCCCAGGACTCCACAGTATGCCTTCCTGGTCAGCCTAGCCCCCATAGCTGTTCTCCTTCTCTCTATACATTCCCTGGGCTCAGGGCCCCTGGAAGGGGGCTCCACCCGGACTGAGCTCCTGGGTCCCTAGGTGAATTGAGACCATGATACTCCCTCCACAGTGAGGTGGGCAGAGCTCTGCGTGGCCCAGCAGGAGGACGGAGAGCTCAGGAGTGGGAGGCAGCCTTCCTAGACAGACCGCACAAGCTAGGAGGGCTGCTCAGAGGCAGTGGCATTTCTCTTGGGACTCGTAGGATTCACACGAGTAGGGACTAGGAGGAAAGGGCCTCTAGGCAGAGCGGTGTTGTTAGTAAGCACCCAGAGGTCAGAAGGCTCAGCCTCTATGAGAAGCAGAGTTGCATGAAGCTGGGTTGAGGAAGTCTGCAAAGACTCAAGAGGGGGGTCCACCGGGCCACAGGAGTGCATACTTGATCCTGGGTGCGGACAGCGGACCCAGCTGCATGTAAGGGAAGGGGGGCTGGCTGTGGGGGGGAACCAGAAGGCCCTGGAGAATCTGCACAGGGAGGGAATGAGCCTGAAGGGACGTCAGTGCCCACGAGGACTGGGGTGAGCTGACGTATCAACCAAGAGCAGAACCATCAGGGCTTAGGAAGAGCAGCTGGTCGGGTGTCTTCAGTCCAATTAAATTATTTTATACTAGGTAAGGGGGGCTGGAGGGAACAACCCTCCCAGGGGACACCTGCACTCTAGAAGGGCACCTGTTAACACAAATCAGGCACTGGAATGTCCAGGGCAGACTTCCTGTCCCCATCACTGGCCTGGGCAGCACGCCTGCCCCCACACTTCTGCCTGGCACCCTTGCTTCGAAAACAGTCAGTCCTGCCTGTGCCTGCTCAGCCCCCTGGGGCCACCTCCTCCCCGTCACAGCTTCATCGTCCAACCCCACCTTCAGCACTGGGAAGCGCACCCCCAGAACAATGCTCTAGCAGGAAGCATGGGGGGCCTTGTAAAAGCCCCCAACATCATGGAGAGGCATGGCTCCGCCCCTGCAGCCCCTCCCCTCCGGGGGCCTGCTGACCTCCTCTGGTGAGAATGAACTTGCCACACCCTCAACTGGACAGCTTCTCCCCACCTCAGCTCTGATCAGATTCCCCACCCCCCAGTCAACCAGATATGCTGGAGGCGCTGGGAGACCGGCAGGTATTTCTAGAGTGTTGCTGACACTGGGCTGGGGTGGAGGTTTCCTGTGTGCCTCACTGCGTCCAGAGATGTGGCGGGTGACGGGTCCTGGGGATACGGACTCTACTCTGACCCCTCTGCCTTCTCCCCTGGTGGGGTGGCCCAGCGGGGGGTCTCAGGCTCCAACACACTGAGATGCCAGACAGGTGTTCGGTACTTAGGGGTCTGGAATCTTGGGGGGACTGACCCATGATGCCACTGGCTGGCTTCTCTCTACTCCCTGGAGACTGCAGAGACTTGAACAAGACTCCGGGAAGAACCCTAAGGAGGAGGAGGGGCTGCCCTGACCAGCAGTGGTCAGAGGAGAGGCAGACCTTGGCTTTGGCAAAGCAGGCTGATCACCCCCTTTTTTCTCACCTCCAGGGACTCAGGGAGTTGCAGCATCAAGTGGTAAGCATCTGAGGCCCCTGGATGGGGTCAAGGGCAGGGGCCCGTCTGAGAGCAGCAAGACTGGCCAGAGGCTCGCACAAACCCCTGGAGCGAGGCTCAGAATCCAGGGGTGGGGCACGGGGAACCCCAAAGTAAGGAACAGCTGTGGCTCCACAGAATGAGAGCCAAGACAGGAGAGGAGGAAGGCCTGACAGGCGGTGCAGCAGACACGGGAGCCCAGCGAGGCATGACGCACAGGGGAGGCGGGCAGGGAAGCGTGACAGCGGAGAGGCTAAGGGCCATCTAAAATCGTTCTGCCGTAACAGTAACAGACGCCACAGGGTCACCTACGTGTGTGGGACAGTCCCAGTGCCTGCTGTCCCTCCCAGAGCCTGTTTGCCGGGCCCTGGGTCAAGACCTTTCCAAGAATTATCTGAATCCTCTCCATGTCTCATGACTGGGGAGGTAGGCCTGAGGTCACGATTTCAGAGGTGAAGGGCGGGGGAGGGGGGCTTTCCCACAGCCAGGAGGGGTCTGCCTGTGACCGGTCGCCCACGCCCTTGACCTGCCCAAGGTCTCCCTGCAGATCAAGGGTAAAGAGGGCCCAGAATTGGGCAGAAAGTGGAAACGGGAGTGTGGGGCTAGGAACCAGAAGGACACCCAGTGAGTGCCGCCCCGGCTTTGTCCCTTAGTGTGCGGGCACCCAAGAATGCTGAACCGGATGGTGGGCGGCCAGGATGCCTTGGAGGGCGAGTGGCCCTGGCAGGTCAGCATCCAGCGCAACGGAAGCCACTTCTGCGGGGGCAGCCTCATCACAGAGCGCTGGGTCCTCACGGCCGCGCACTGCTTCTCCAAGTGAGTCAGTGGGCCCCAGGCTCCCTCCACACCCAGCACGGGCTCGGCGGTGCTCCAGCACCTCGGACAGCGCCATGGCCCAAAGGGAGGACCTCCTCCCCCCCCCCCCCCCCCCCCCGGCACTGGTCTCACCAGTGAGGCCCTCTGCCAGGCCTGGGGCCATGGCCCTGCCACGCTGGCAGGCTCAGCCAACATCCTGGCTCTCTTCCCTGCCCCCCTCCCACACCTCGAATCCAGGACACTCCCTTTCCGACTGGGACTTGGGTTCCAGATGAGCCTGCAGGCTGAGGTCCCCCACGCCACCAGACTTGGAGCCGCCTGGCCCCAGACCCCCACCTGCTCTCTTGCCTCACCAGTGCTGCGATGCTTTGACATCTGAGGTTCAGAAATGTGGGCTCAGAGGGAGCAGGTCCTTTGCTCAAGCAAGGCTCGCAGGCTGGCCCCCAGCTGGAGCCTGGGGGTGGCAACTTTGCCAACCCTCCCAGGTAGAGACGGTCACAGAGGAGGAAACTGAGTCCCAGGGAACGTGCCGGGTGACTTGCCCGAGGCCATCGGGCTCACCAAGGGTGTACATTCAAGTCAGGAATTAAAGCTGCTTCAGCTTCTAACCCCACCGTACGCCCCCCTGGGGAGGACGGTTCCGAGGACCTCGGGCAGGCACGGTGGCCCGCGGGGAGGGGGCTGGTCTCAGAGGGACCACGAAGCCCCTCCCTGTTTCGAAGCTCCGTCCGACCCCTCCCAGTCTCTCTTCGCCTCACACCAGCCCTCTGCTCTTTCCCACCAGCACCTCCCAGACATCCCTGTACCGGGTCCTGCTTGGGGCGCGGCAGCTGGTGAGGCCAGGCCCACACTCCATGTACGCCCGGGTGAAGCGGGTGGAGAGCAACCCCCTGTACCAGGGCATGGCCTCCAGTGCCGACGTGGCCTTGGTGGAGCTGGATGCCCCGGTGACCTTCACCAACTATATCCTCCCCGTGTGTGTGCCTGACCCCTCGGTTGTCTTTGAGACGGGCTTGAACTGTTGGGTCACCGGCTGGGGCAGCCCCAGTGAGGAAGGTAATGGGGTAGAGCCGGGGGAGGGTGGGGACAGGCCTGCAGAAGGGCAGTGTGTGTGGGGGGAACCACTCCGACCAACACTCTTTTTCTGTTGACTGCATCTCTCCTCCGACGGGGTGAGGGGGTACAGGAAAAGTGAGCTCCAAGGAGCCATGGGCAAGCAGGGAGAAGGGGGGCAGCGAGAGCCCAGGTCCAAACCCAAGCAAGAAATGAGGAGGGACAGAGCTGTGGTTCTTAAGAACGCAGGCCCGTGGGGTGCTCGGTAAGCCGGGGCGCTGACCTGCAGGCTGTCCCGCCCCTCCCAGACCGCCTGCCCAACCCGAGGGTCCTGCAGAAGCTCGCAGTGCCCATCATCGACACACCCAGGTGCAACCTGCTCTACAGCAAAGATACTGAGTTCGGCTTCCAGCCGAAAGCCATCAAGGATGACATGCTGTGTGCCGGTTTTGCCGAGGGCAAGAAGGATGCTTGCAAGGTAGGGGCCGGGTGGGCTGTGCCCGAGGCCGAGCCCTGCTCCCTAAGCCCAGGTCAAGGTGGGAGCCAGCCTGGCTGGGTCCAGGAGGCCCCTGTAGGCGGGTCTGCCCCAGAGCCTGGCATTCCATCAGCTGGGAAGCGCAGACCCCAGGACCCTACCCAGCATGGCCGTCCAGTTCACTGGTGTGCAGTGGGCCAGCAACCTTTGAAAGCCCCTTGGAGGCCAATCAGAGCAGGTGGTCTGGGGGTGCTAGGGAAATGGGCACCCCACAGCAGAAAAGGACCAGCCAGCAGGTGGCCGGGGGGGGTGGTCCCAGGTAGGGACGCTCCTGGAGGAGCGAGGAGGGGTACAAGGAGAGGCAGAGTGGGTGCGGGCACCTGGGTGCCACAGAGGCTGGCTCTTGGGCCCGTGGGCTCTGATCGTGCCTCTGCTTCTCTCACAGGGTGACTCAGGGGGACCCCTGGTGTGCCTGGTGGGCCGGTCGTGGCTGCAGGCGGGGGTGATCAGCTGGGGCGAGGGCTGCGCTCGCCGGAACCGCCCAGGTGTCTACATCAGGGTCACCTCCCACCATGCCTGGATCCATCACATCATCCCAGAACTACAATTCCAAAAGGCCGGGACCGGTGGCCTGACGCGGGAGCCCCGGGGCCAGCAGCCCTCCGTTCAGAACTCTGTGCCGGGCCTGGCGGCCCACGCGGGCCTCTGGGCCTGGGCCCTCGCAGCCCTGCTCACCCTCCTCTGAGCCCCAGGACCCATGATGTACATTTGTAAATAGCGCTCCCTTTCTCTCCCGCCAAACGCCCATGTTTTATTTATGTTCGCATTCCAATAAAAGCCCAGCCTCAGTGCTGGCTCCGAGGTGCCTCAGGGGGAGGTGGGTGGCGCACCAGATCGGGGGCGGGGGGCTGCTGCAGCGCTGGGCTGGGGGCAGAGGCTCCCCAGCGGGAAGGGAGCTGCGACAGGTGCACTGGACACCTGTCCCCCGGCCCCCGCACAGGAGCTTCCCTGCGCCCAGCCCTGTCCCAGCGCCTGCTAATAGCGTCCTCACTGTATACGTTGAAGGCGCCCCTGGGGGCAGCAACAGATACCGGCAGAAAACAACAGGGGCCCCATGGAGGGTCCTAGAGAAGGAAGGCTTTGCTCTCCCACGGCCCCTATGGTGAGTGTCTGAGTCACCCCAATATTCCTCTAAACCCCCTCACCAGCAGGGTGACTTGCCCAAGGCTCTGCTTTCCTACTGCAATGTCGGGGCTGACACGAGGGCTGTTCCTGGTGCCCTGGGATCCCCCCAGGGACTCCTTGTTCCCCGGGTACCTCTTGGCTCCTGGCTCCTTTTCCTCCACACCCTCCCTCAGCATCAACTTCCCAGGGATGAGTCCAAAACTGCAGGAAGTAGAGGGGCTGGAACTGGGTGGGGCCCACGTCTGCTGGGAGACACGGGAGAAGTTGTGACCTTCTCTTAGCCGAGACACAGATCCTGTTCCTGGGCTCCCATGCCCGCACATCTCCCTCATAGGTTCCAAACCCCCTTGCAACAGCCTGGGGGACAGCTCTGCTGGGCCACCAGCCCCGATACCCAGGGAGGCCAGACCTCCCTAAACCTCAGGGATGCAGGGACCAGCACGAGCCCCAAGTCTACACACTGCCTGGGCAGGCCACTCACGACCTTAGAGGTGAGCAGGACGGGTCCCCCCTGCCCAGGCCAGGCCCCACTTCCTTCTTCCATCCCCAGGATTTAGGGTTTAGACCAGACCAGCCAGAGTCTTCAGTGGTTTGTGCAAGGATCCCCAAGAACTCAGAAATGAACTAGAACCTATCACCAGCCCCCCAAGCTCTGCAGCCACCCCTGCTTCCCAGCCACCCTCTTGCGGCCTGTCACCACCAGGAACCCAGCACAGAGCTCTGGAGCTCGGGTCCCCAGAGTGCTCCGGCCCTGCTCAGGTGTGGCCGCCCCGGGGGGCAACCTCAGGCTCGCCGTCTGGCCCAGGCGCACCCACGGCAGGCCCCCCTTGCAGCCAGTCAGCCAGGTTCCTGTGTGGACCGACTCCTGGAAGGTATCCGGGCTGGTCTGTGAGCTCAACAACCATCCATGGGACGAGACTCCTAGGAAGGCAGGGCCTTCCTCCCCCCACACACACCTGTGCAAACATGTGTGCACACGCACGCACACACACCTCCGTACAAGACACGCACCCGTGCACACACTTGCCGGCGTACACAAAGGCACAGCTTGCCCAGGCCTGGTGCTGGGAAGAAAGCAGACCTGGGTATTTCTGGAATGGATCCATAGCCACTCAGCAAGCACCTGCTGTGAACCGGCCCCGGGGACAGAGTGCGAACAAATACCAATTCCCTTCTGTGCCCCACTTTGTCTGGGCACGTCCCCACCACCAGGCAGGAAGGACTGGGAGGGGAGGCACTGGGGAGAGGCTCAGAGGGCCCCACCTCCCTGCTGGCTGCTCTGTGGCCCTCTAGGGACCAGGTGGCTTCAAGAACTCCTTCTCCAGACCAGATGGCCTCCAAGTCCCTCGGGTGCGGGGGGTTGTGCAGCAGGTGCACTGATGGGGTCCAGGTCGGGGTGGGGGGAGAGGGTCTAGGCTACGAGTGTCTTGAGGGGAGCCCTAGGGATGAATTCCGGGTCATCCTGGCTGGGAACAGGGGCTGGTCTGGGTCCTGCCTGGGTTAATCCACCGCTCCACTGTGGGGGTAGAAAAAGACGGGCCCTGGGCTGGGATGGGGGGTGCTTCGAGGTTAACTGGCCTCTGGAGGGAGGCCCCTCTGCTGTCTGTGTGTTGAGAGCCCAAGATGAAACCGACTGTGGGAGACGGGACAAGGACCAGGTTCCCCCTGGAGGCCCTGCCACCCCACCTCTGCCTCCTCTTGTGGGCTATTCCAGCTTTCTACTGTCCTGGGGGCACTCCCACCACCCTATCCTCCCGTCTCTGCCACAGGGCAAGGGTCTGGTCAGGATCCTTTGGGACACGGCTCCCCGAACTCGGGCGCACCCAGATTGGGGGCAGACATTGAAGAGTGGAAGAGAAAACGGTCTCGCACAGGCTAGGAGTCTGAAGGGAGAGATTTCCTTCAGGCAGGGGACACCCACAGCAAGCAGGCGAGTGTTGGGACAGGAGCTGAGAAACTGCCCAGCCGTCACCATCCCTTCTCCCACCCTGGGCAGGGTGGCAGCTCCTGCAGAACTTTCCATGTTGCTGCCAAGCCTCGGAGCCACCTGCCAGGGTGCGGAGGGGGCATCGGAGAGCGGACGGACACGGACTAGAAGTCCGTCCACTGGCCTAGGCCAGGGCCCACAGAGAAAAGCCCACCTTGGGGCAACCACGGGAGGAGGAGGGGGCGGACTTCTCCGCAGGCTGCAGTCAGACACAGACATCCGCACCTGTACGTGCACGACGATCAGCCCATGGGAGCCCCAGGAAGGAAAACCACTGGGCCAGCTCCCCAGGCCCCTTCTGGCCTCAAGGGCCAGGGATCAGCCATTGCTCTGAGGTCACAGGACTGGTCCTGGAGCATCTGTGCGGGGGCGGCGGGGGTCAGGGGGAGCCTGATGCAGCTAGGCCAAGGTCAGGAGCTCCAAAGGCAGGGAAGGCGGCATGCGCAGGAGGAAAAGGGGTATGTGTGCAAGTCAAAGCCAGAGACCAACCCCCTTCCAATCCAGGGGCCACCGCCCACACAAACTCCGAGGCACATGCACAGGGGACTCCGTGCCTGGCCGGCCTAAGGGCACAGGCTCGCAGGGATGGACAGACAGCTGCAGCCTGGGGCCCACTGAGCCAGCCACTGCCTCCCACTCTGGGGAAGATGGTAGAAGGCAAGAAAGACCCGCTGGGTGGACACAACAAAGCTTAGGTGGGAGAAGCCAGGCCAGGGGACTAGAAGGTTCCGGACACGGGCTCAGTGGGGGGCCCAGCAGCTGCACACTGCATGTGCCTGCCCACCTCTTCTGTCCTGCCCGCTGGAGCTACAGGGCTGGCTGCCCAGAGAGCTGTGCCCCTGCCCTCCCCACAGCTTCCCCCAGCAGGCGGGCCGGAAGACAAGGTTCAAGAGGCAGGGCTCCCTCCCTGCCTGGCGCACCCAGAGTAAGGGCCCTCAGTGTCGGGACCTGGGCTGGGCAGCTGGCTCCCCTCCAGTCCTCTCCTTGGACACGTTCAGATTTGCTGCTGGCATCAGAGCTGGGAGATGCCGAGTCAGCCTGTGCAGAAAGCAAAGTCTCTGAAGCAGGATTTGGAGTGCTTCCCCACGTGTCCCCGGCGGCGTGCTGAACGCCAACCCCCACCCCAGGCAAGCAGGTCCCGCTCCCCAGCCTGGGCCCACAGGACAAACCACCAGGACCCTGGGAGCCCTGGCCAGGCCAGCAGCACACCTGCAAGCAGGATGGACGCTCAGATAAGGCTGGGGGTCTGTGCAACCTCAGGGAGGGCGGAGCTCTCCAGGGAACACCAGGACAGGAATTTCCCCCAAGCATAGGGGCCACGGCTCAGAGCTTCCCAACAACAGCCAGCAGGGGGAGCCCGAGCAGTTGTGGGGTGGGGAGAGGCGCCCCAGGACGCAGGTGGCGCTTCTGGGCAGGGTGAGCAGGGCAACATCACTTGAAGATGCTCTTTGGATCTTTGTCCCCTGGGGATGGGGCAGGATGCCAGCAGGGCGTAGGCCGGCGAAGGTGGGAGACTGGCCCTTGGAGCCTTTTAGCGCTTGCGCAGCAGCCCCTTCTCTGTGCATTTTGAGACACTAACAGTTATTGTCATTCATAAATACACAATTTTATTTGCTATTTTCAGGGGAAACTTAGGCATTAAACTGTAAGCTGATAAAATACGGATACCTAAAAAAGTATAAAAGTATAAATATCCCCTTAGAATAAATTTTAGTGAATTAAAGTCTTAATATCTTTAAATTAAAAAACCACAAGCCTATCTATTATGTCAAGGTCATGAATCAAACGACGCTACGTGGCCAGCAGCGCCCACAGGTACACCCCAAGGCCAACGAGGGGCTGCCCCCGCCCCAGGCGCACCGGGAGGATGGGTCGCCGGGGCCTCAGGGCGCCCTCTAGAAAGGCTGCGATGAATCTGAAGCCAAACATTTAACAACATATGAGAGACCTTACAGAGAGGAGGAGGTAAGTCCTGGGCGCCGGAGAACCTGGTTCATCAGGTTGTTGGCAAAGAGGAGGGCACAGGCAAGAAGCCTCCGGAAGCACTGGAGACTGAGCACACCCGAGCCAGCCCGCCCCCGCCCCCCCGGCTCTGACAGTCCCCCGACAGCTAGGGAAGGCCTGTCCTCAGAGCTGTGGGCGGCGCTGTTTACAGGGGTTCTGGTCCCTCTGGCGTCGTGTCCCGCGGGCAGAGCCTGTACAGGGCGCATCTCAAACACCCCAAACCCCAGAGAGAACTGCATAGTTAGACGAAGAAAATGAGCGAGCCGGCAAGAGGGAGAGACTGGTGATGCACTGTAAACATTCGGGTTTCAGCGTGACCTGGAGTCTCGGCTCCGGAAGCCAGGCGGACAGGCCCCCACCCTGACCTCCATCCCAGGCGAGACAAAGGCACTGACGAGCAGCAGCTCCCCACAGGCCCGCGGCCGGGCCGCACCGAACTGCTACCCCCACACATCCGTCTGAACGCAGCCGCGTTCGTAGGCGTTTCTAAGGACTAAGCACTCTGGGTAGTCCATCCACACGGGGGAAGAAGGGATGCAAAGTTCTCTTGCCTGGAAAACACAAGTGGAGAAGCCTCGACTGCTCCAGGTGGGGTCAGGCCGGGGGAGCCGGGCTCTGAAGGAGGCCAGGCCTCAGGGGCGAGGCCCGGGAAGTAGTGAACACGCAGAGGTTGCCTCTCTCAGGAGCCACACGCCGCAGCTGCGAGAAATCGCCAACCATTCCTCCAGGGAGGTTGCGCGGACTCCGTGACCCGAGGACCAGGGCCTGGTGCGTGAGTGGGTGACCAGCGGGCACCTGGAGCCTGGGGCCACGGCGCTGCAGCCACGTCCTGCCAACAAGGCCCAGGCTCCGTCAGACTGTTCATGTTAGCACCAAGAGCGCTGTCCTTTAAATGACCTTCGGTGATTACAGGGGTTGGCTGGAAGTATCCTGCCACAGGCCCAGGCAGCCCGGGGAATGCGGCACAGGGGCCCCTGTAGGGACACCCACCTGGCTAGCAGGTCTGCTCCAAGTGGGGACGCCCGGCCTCAGCGGGTCCCGTCTCTCACCGCCCACCTCAGAGGCAAAAAAGGATCCACACCCAGATCTCTATAGAGAAATTGTAAAACACAGGTTTCTTCTCACGGCCAAGCTTCCTCCACGTGGCAGATCGTTGCAACTTGGGACAAGATAAAATGCTTCTTCAGTCGTCAACACTGTGCTTCTCACATCCTTGAACCCCGTTCTTGCAAAATCTGAAAATGCCAAACACAGACAGTGAGGTCCTGGGTGCTGGATGGGGCTGCAGCCAGCTGCCAGCTGGGAGCCACAGGGCCCTGAAGTAAAGCACTGCTCTGGGAGCAGGGCCCAAGACCCCAAGTCCACCTGCAGGGAGCTCAGGGGCCAAGAACAGGCTGAGAGACCCTCAGCTGGGGGGCCCCTCCAGATCTCCATCCCAACCCATGGCAGACACACACGCCCCAGCCTCCCACCTCAGTAGCCGGCCTGTCCCCCACCAGGCGCCTCTAGACAACCTTGGGGAGGCCTGAGACGTGTTGGGGACAGGCACCTGGGACTTGGCTCCTTACCAAGTGCCCAGAGGTCCCTGGGAGCACCCGCTGATGGCTGCCGCTGCTCTCCTGCAGGTGCCAGAGCCTGGCTGCCAGGCACCAACTCCTGAGCCTCCAGCCTGGCCAGGTCCTGGGCTGTAGACACAGCTGCACCGCCAGAGGCCTCGGGGTATGTATCAGCGGGCCCCACCCCAACCTCCTCTCCTTCCTGGCCCCATCACAAACCAAGTCCCCTGGGTGTCCCCTCAGCCCTGCCCCAGTCACACGACCCCTAAGCCTGGGCCCCCAGGACCACCCCATCACCTCCACACCCACCAGTTCAGCCCAAATGCTGCCACTGCCTGGCAGGCCTTGCTGCCTCAAGGCCGCCAGCCTCTCCTCACTACACCCCTGCAGAGTCCCCTGCCTCTTGGCCACCATGCCTGTCTCTGTTTTTCTCACTTCTTAGTGAGAGAGCGGGCCCCCAGCCTCCCTCAGCCCTGAGCACGGGTGGACACCTGCAGAGCCGGCACATCTCTCGCTATTTCGATGAACACACGCAATACAGAACCATGAGACATGCCCGAGTCCCAGCCTGGCCTAGTGCAGCCACGGCCAGTGCTGTATGATGGCCCGTGCCATCGGCCATGGACAGGAGCCTCCTGGAGGCATCTTCTGCTTGGATTCCAGAGTTGAGCCACATACAGCTCTGGGGACACTGTTTCTGAGTCCCAGACCTGGGCACAACGTGGGGCTGGGCCCTGGGAGGGGCCAGCCTGCTCACGCCAGGTCCAGGCCCACATGGACCCTCTGGCCAAAAAGCATCTCCTGGCCACCTGCTCCCAGGCTGGGCAGTCAGGGGGATGCCCAGAGCAGCAAGGCCACAGGAGCAGGGCACCGGTCACTCACAGTCACCTAGGGCTCGTTTGGAACCACTCAAGAAGGCCCAAGCTATTGAGCGCCACTCGGCCTCTGCCCCGTGCCTTACATACCGCTGTCGGCCCCTGGGCCCGCGCCTGCCACGTCTCAGAGGGCTCCGGAACGCCCGGCTGGCATGGCTGCATGCTCTCCTGCCCTCTGCGCCCGCCTCCTGGGACCCCACTCTGCCCCCTGTAGGATGCACCTTCAGCTGTGATGGCGGAGCAGCGCCCCAGACTGAACGTCCCTCCTCGGCCTGTACCACGACAGGGCCTTACATCTAGTAGGATTTGCCAGCTGGCTGGGACAGCCCAGGAGGCCCCTGTCAGAGGGATGAGGTCTGGGGAGGGGACCTGGGACTGTCACACACAGGTCCCTGCTACTCCCACAGGGCTGGGCTCAGTTCCACTATCTTCACTGTTTGCCGGGCAAGCTGGGATCTGTGGGCGCCCTCTAAGCAGAGCTGTCTCTCACTCCATGGGGGCCCAGCAGAGAACACGGAGTGTCTAAGTCCGCAGGAGAGAGGATGAAGCCCGTGCCCCCGGAACGTGGCCTGGAGCAAGGTGGCCACGCCAGAGGGGCTGCCCCACCGGAGTCAGCCCCAAAAACTATCTCCTGATGAGGACTGAAAAGCAGTTCTAGACCTGTGACAGTCACAGCCCTTCTGTCCGAGACAGGATCTTACCTGGGCCACCGCCCACAGGGACCCACAGCATCCCCCAGGCGGCAACCCCTCGGACAGGCCAGGGCAGGGGAACACGGCTTCGCCATGCAGAGTCAGGGCCACCGTGGGACCCACGCTGCCCAGCCAGGCTCCTGTCACAGGCTGTGAGGCGTGCTCAGCAGCCAGCCGGCCAGGTCAGCGTGGCCACTCGAACAGAGGTGGGCTGCAGATGCGGACCATGCGTCTGCTTGCAGGGACTGAGTGAGGACGGTCAGACACCTCCGTGATCTGAGGTTCTGCACATACTCAATTGATAGGATTAGCTTAAGTCCACGTTGCTCTTGACTTTCTCAACGTGGCTACCAGAGAGTCTGAAGAGACAGGCGGACCCGGGCTCTGTATCTCCTGGGCCGTACTCGTCCAGGCCAGGGCTCGGCAAACTGTCTCAGGGAGCCGGGTGACAAGTGCGTAAGGGCCGGTGGATCAAGAGGCAAGACTGAACACGCTATATGTGTACGTAGTCACCAAAAAGTGACCGAACACGTAAATGCTGCTCTCCGTCTGCGGTCCCAGTCCAGACCTCTCACGGCTGGCAGTCAACCTTCCGGGGACTGGCTGGCCACACGCCTCTCCCGAGCGGCTCCTAGGGTGCAAGCTGAGGGCCCTCAATTGGCATGGCTTGGCCCATGACCAGGGGGTGGGGGGCCTGGAGGGAGCAGGGGGACCCCGTGGACAGCATGTGGTTCGCCCAGCTGCAACCTGCCTCTCTGGGCCTCGACTCCCTGTGTGCAAGCTGAGGGCACAGAGCAGGCAGCCCCGGCTCGCGGGGAAAAGTTGGGCTCTGGACCCATGTAGCGGGGAGCGGCGGCGGGGTGAGGACCGGCTGGGGCGGAGGGGCGTTTGTGGAGACCCCCCCCACAGGGCAGACGGACAGAAGGTCCTCACAGACCCCCGTCTATCGGCATCCCTCTCCTGAGGCTCGGGGCAGAGGCGCAGCCCTGGCTCTGGGGCTCTGAGCCCATGGCAGAGCAACAGGAGGGCCAGGCCGTGTCCCTGCCCACAGACACCCACGGCAACGACGGCATTGTAGGGCCCGATGCACAGGGTTCTCAGGCCCCCCAGCCGAGGTCCCGATGCCGCACGCAGAGACCCTAGAGGAAACAGGCCGGCAGCCCCCACCCCAGGCAGGCTGGCTCCACTGCACGTTTACAGTCAGCGTCTAGTGCGGAAGGTTGTCTGTCCACTACAGGAATCAGAAAGCGCAGCGGAGGAAAGGCTGGGGTCAAGGAGACTAAAGTGAGTGGTCACTAAAGGGTGACAGAGCTCACCATGACATTTACACTTAATCTGAGTCATCCCCATCGTGACCCGCGTCCTCGTCGTCACTCTGGCCCGGCACGCAGCATGCGGCAAGGGAGAAGAAGAGAGGGCAGCGTGAGTGTGGGCTGGGACGGCGCAGCGGCTGGGGAAGCCCACACACAGAGGCCAGGACACCCCCCTCCCACCGTGCTGGGTGGTGAAGCAGAGACGGGCCAGTCTCATGTGGGGGTCCTGGGCCCTGAACCCACACGCCCAGACATGCCATGGAGGGAAACCCTGGCTGGAGACGCCCCACTGCCTCCAGGTCTGGTGCTCCCAAGGCTCCAGACCTTCCTGCCCTCCTTTTAGTGAGGAAGTGAATCTTGCCCAGACTGCGGTGAGGCCTTTGCTACTGGCCCTTTAATGGCCATGACCTTCAGGCCACACAGACGGTCTAGGAACATGATGGGGTGGGCTCAGCGGGCCAGGGGGCTGAAAGCGGCGCTCAGGCAAGTGGACGCTCAGTCACTCATCAGTTCTCTACCAATCTTGTCTGTGTCACCCAACAGTTAAATCCCTGCACGGGGAGGCAGGGACACCCCCAGTGGTCAATGTCTTGTGTCCCCCACCTGTCCCAACTCGGCAGAGGAGCCCTGCGCTGACACAGGGCTCGTGGCTCCAGGCCTCAGCCCCATACGCTCCCTCTCTGTCCCAGGGTCCCCTCAGTGAGTCCCGCAAGCCCCCCAGCTCAGCTCGGATTGGCAGATGGGTTTGGGACGCCCCTGATCTGGCGGAGGTGGGCTGCCCTCGTGCACCACTGCCCTCACTAAGCAGCCCAACGGATCCCGCCCTGCGCCGGGAGGCTGGCCCCTGGCGCCCCCTGAAGGCGCGGCACTGTACAACCAGGCTGCATCTGGTATCCCCAGGTCACTGGGCCCGCCTGGCGCAGCATTCTGGAGGTGCCACCCACGTTCTGCCTCCTGGGGAGCTCCTGGCACTGTCCCCGCTTAGGAGCCACAATGACAGCCATGCTTCAGACCCAGGTATTTTTGGAGAAAAAAGCAGGGCACGTTTTCAAAAGCAAAGGATTTGGGGTCACACCTGGAGCTCCCTCAAAGCAGAGGTGCAGCCGCAGAGCGCCCGGACGGACAGGAGCGCAGGCGGCCGTCCCGCTCAAGCAGAGCGACGAAGACTTCAAGTTCAGAGACCAGAGCTTCCACAGGTGAACATCTCACACCGTAATTCTGCAACTGCTCGGAAAGATGTGGCTCCTCACGACACTTGGGGCCCCGGGGGTGGGGGTCACTTTCCAACCCAGACTCAACAGGAAGCACGTCCCTGGGCCGAGCACTGCCGCCCCAGTCCTGTCCCGGGCGGCAGGGGAGTGGCCTGGACACGCTGGGTGCCAGACAGTTGCCCCGTCGTGAAGACATGGGACTGCTTCATGCCGCCATGAGCCCCTTGAGGACGGCCACCATGGGAAGGCTAACACGCACGGGAACCGTGCTGTTTGCTCCTAAGGCCACACCTCCAAGGGAGGCCCTGAAAGGGTCACAAGGCAGTTCTGGGCCAGTAGCACCAACGAGGGGCCACCTGGGGCGGAGGGAGGGAGCTGAGAGTCAGGAAGCATCAGGAGCCCCCAATTTAATGTCACTGGTTATAATCCTCTGGGCTGGCTCCCCTCAGAACTGGCTTCAGCGCTGACAGGCTACCACCAGCCTCCAAGGCCCAGGAGTCCTGCCGGGTAGAGCCAGCCCAGGGCAGAAGCATCTGGAGTCCGTGACCCTAGGGGCGACACCCGCTGCTGCTCCATGCCGTGAGGCTAACGTGAAACCCGGCGGGGCCGCCCTACATGGACCCCGGGACCCCTTGCCCTCCTTGGGAGATGGAGGTGCCTGCGCCCACCAGGGAGCCAGTTCCCACAGGGACAGCCCGGGCCGAGCCACCACTGAGGAGCCTGGAAATTAGAGCCTCTGCATGATCTGCTGCTCCCTGTCCAAATCAAACACGGCCCCCAAGATGTGGTCGGACGTGGCTAAGACAGGGACCACTTGGGAGACCCCACTCTCCAGCCCAGATGTCCCAAGCCCCAGGAAATCCATCCAAACTGGCATCGAAACACAAACTTTCAGAAGCAACTCTGCCTGTCCAAAGAGGTGTGGGCAGAGGGCGTGGGCTGCAGACGCCACAAGGGCTTGCCTCAAGGGGAGCCCCTGCTCTAAGACCCCTCGCACCGCCACCTGTGGCGCTCCACCATGGCGGCCCGCGGGACCCTCGTGTCGTCCCTGTGGGACTCTGTGGACGCATCGGGCAAGAACTCCCAGGAAGGAGAGCACGAGGCGGACAAGCCCCCCACAGATGGGAGCCGGAGGGTCAGCGCCGGAGGCGCCCACGGTCACCCACCTTGGCTTTCTCGCTGGGCTCACTGGTCGTGCCGTACGGGGAGCTGTGCAGCTCCTTGGAGACCACGCACAGGAACTCGGCCTGGTCTTCGCTCCCGTAGTTGTAGGAAGAGCCGATGCTGACCAGCTAGGAGGAGAGAAGGGCAGCACCATGGGGCCAGTGCAGCACGAGCCTGGCCCTCCTGCCGGCAGGGACACGCCAGCCCGGGAGCCCACGCTGGGGACAGCCAGCGTAGCTTGTGGCCAAGAGGTTTCTAATTTCTAATGAAATCCCCACACAGCCGTACACGGCACAGACACGCACACATGCCACCCCATGACAACACCATGCACGGGACAGGCCATCACGGCTGGGCCATTCAGCTCTCCCAGACTTTCTGTGGGGCCCATGGGAGAGGAGGGCCCCGGTGCTGGGAGGTGGGAGGGGGCAGGGGCAGCTGGCTCAGAGCAGGTGGTGAAGTTGAGGCCTTTGGCACAGGCTGAAAACAAGCTCCCAGGGGAAGCCTGAGCTGACCTTCTCCCAGCAGGGCTAGTAACCGGAAAGGGCACACACTCTGGGGCAGGAGGGGATGGGGTGCAGGTGCCAGGGCCAAAGAGCCTGAATCTCAGAGATGGACACGGTCAGGACCTCAGGCTGAGCTGGTGTTGGTGGCATAGGACAGGGACACACACAGCCGGCCGGTCCGCTCCAGCGACAGGGACACACACAGCCGGCCGGTCCGCCCCAGCGACAGGGACACACACAGCCGGCCGGTCCGCTCCAGCCCGCCCCAGAGCCAGCACAGACTCATGTGCTTCTGGAAGCAAAATGAGGCCAGAGGCAGCCTCACACCACAGAGAGGCTTTCCAGGGCAGGATCGCTGAGCTGACGAGTGCCTTAAAGGGCCCTCGCTCTTTGGCTGCACACGCTGGAGAAGGCCAGGGGCCGGGGGACCTCGAGGCGCAGCGCGGGAAGGATGAGAACAGCGTGGGGGCGGACGGAGGGCAAGGCCGAGCAAGCAGAGCGCGCCGGCCGCGCAGCCGGTCTGGCCAGAGACGGGAGAGCACGGCGGGCCGGCCGCTGGAGGGTTGCCCGGAGAGGTGTCTCCCTGGCTCTCTGGACAGACGTGCCCTGCCCCCCGCAGACCCCGGGGCGGCCGAAGCAACCTCGGAACTTTGTTCTCGCCTGCGCTCACCACGGGCTGACCCCGGGCTTGACGCCAACACCTGTCAGGGCTCTGACCCCGCTGTCCTACAGCAGGCCCGGCTCCTGCTTCTGGGAAGGAGAGCACGCCTCGTCAAACGGGACTGGTTCTGGAGTCTCGCGGGCAAGAACTGGGAGGAGCCCATCCTCCAGCGACAACGACTTAGGGACAAGAGAGGAACCTGGCGTGTGTGAGGGGTCTGGGACCTGATCGGGGGAGCTAAGGACAAAGCCCTCACGCTGAGCACAGAGAGGAAGGGAGAGGCCCACGCAGCAGGCAGGAGATTCTCCTCCTCAGCGAGAGAGCTACAGAGGGGCTTTGCTCCCGGCGATGGCGGCCAGGTCAATGCCCTGACCGGTTTGCCTTCTCCGGGCCGCACGGCAAGGGAGGACACCAGGGGCACGGGAGGGGACCTCTGTCTCGGCACGGTCTCTGGCACGAGTGTAACGAGGTCAGACGCTCCCTGGATCCCCAGCACGCAGGCAACACTGTGAGAGGACACGGAGAGCAGCCCTGGTGGCCGCAGGGCCCAGCTGCTTACCCTGCTACCCTTCCAGGCCCCGCGGATGGGAGGGAGAACGCAAACCCTGCAGCTGTCTTCGTGACATTTTAAGGGGACCCCAAGCATGCTCTACCACGTGACCCACTGTTTCAAAGGACCCAAAGAAAAGGCGTGGCCTAATCAGAAGGGAGCCTGGGATGAGCCTGTCCTTTCCCACCCTCTCTCCCATGGGACCGCTTGCCGCAGCTGGAACCTGCACTGGACAGAAGCAGAAAGCTCTGAGGCCTGAGGGGCCTGGCGAGCCGGGCGGCTGAGACCTGGGGCTGGGGGGCCGGGCCGGGTCACAGGTCCGAGCCTTAGTCCCACCCTGCCTGAGGGACAGGAACAGTGGGCACTTCGTGGAAAAGGTGCCCGAGAATGAGTGAGCATCCCGGATGTGCTCCCAGGCCACCCGTGGCCGCAGCTGCACAGGCGGGGAGCCCGCGCTCCACAAAGGGAAGGAGCACTCGCGCACCCCCGCGTCAGGCCGGCCGAGGGGAGGGCACAGCTGCACCAGAGCCGAGGGCAGGAGAGGGACTGGGGGCCACAGAGCAGCCCCGCTGGGAAGGGCATCTGTGCCAACCGTAGCACAAAGGAGCCCAAGCCGCCACCTGCTCAGCCAGCATGGGAGGGGATGTGAGGGGACGGGAAGGTGGGGTCGGGCCGGGACGCACTCAGGCGGTCAATCCCACGCGCACGGAGAGGCCAGATGGGAGCAGAGAGAACAGTCCCTGCAAAGCACGGGCTCAAGGAAGACGGAGAACTAAAAGACAAGGGTGTGGGCAAGTCGGATGGGACTTCCACGGGGGGCCCCGAGAACAACTCCACCCGCCCCACCGAACCTGTGACCAATCCAGTCAGGACACGGCACAGGCCGCCGTCTGCGAGGTGCCGGAGGCCCCCGACAGGCCGCCGCAGGCCCCCGACACCTCATGACTGGGCCCCGGGCTTCACCTGCTCGAACTTCCAGCCGTCGGACATGGTGGACACCATCTGCGTGAGCTCCTCCTCCTGACACTGCAGCACGCGGTACACGTGCTTCACCGGCACCTGCGAGAGCGGAAGCCGCGGCTGAGACGGGCCGCAGGCACCCAGCCCGGCAGCCCGGTCCCGGGCCCATCCTAGGGACGGCCCCGTGGGGGACCCAGGGCAGGCTCGCGCCCCTCAGGCTCAGGTCGCAGCGCGCAGAGCGAGCCCAAACGCATCCGGCAGAGCAAAACAGGCTGAAGAGCTGCTGTTCTCCTCCGCCATCAAACGTCCTTCTGCTTCTAAATCACGAAGTTCAGGGAGTCACGATCCTGAAACCCCAGCGGCACCCCGAGCTAGACGTGAGCACGCAAGGACGCGGCTACGAGCGGGGGCAGCCGGGAGGGCCGGCGGGGAGGCCTGCGGAGCCACGCATGGCCTCAGACCGGGCCCTCCCTCAGGTGAGGCAGCTTCCCCAAAGCTGGCGTGTCCCCTAGTGCGGCGGGCACCCACCCACCACCCTCCCCTGAGCTGCATGCCGGGCACACTGCCTGGTGCTCACCGCACCCCAGGGACGTGCCCACCTGCCCTCGCGGAGCTGCTCCTGCTGTGGGAGGTGGCAGCTGTAACAGGGGGCACACGCGTGCTGGGACGTCAAGGCAGCGGCTCATGACACAGTGGTCACAGCGAGAGGGCGCTGGCTGTCGCACAGCCCCAGTGCGCTCATTCACGACAAGAATGACAAGGCCCTATGGAGGGGCTCTTCTACCCCCACCAGGCAGAGGGGGACTCTGAGACAGACAGGCCTCAGTGCTGCACGCATGGGTCAGCCCATTTATTAAGCAGGACGGCTGGACAGAGGGGAAAGTGGCAGCAAATGGCCACAAATGACCAGGGAGCCCGTGGTCGGTCTCCTGCCCCCTCCGTGGGCCCCTCCCCGCTGTCCTGGTGCCTGAGGGGTACCCGGAGGAGAGAGAGCTGGGGGCACTGTGGCCCAGGACCGGCCACTCTGAGTGGCCAGGCAGTCAGCGAGCCTCTCGCAAAGGCTGACAGCTCTAGTTCGGCGCCCACCGGACACCCAGCGGCAGCCCATGATGGGACAGGGTGGCCAAAGGGCTTCAGGTGGGTGCAGACTCCGGATACCCAAGGCGGCCCTGAGGGCACATCCACCGCGTGGCATCCTCCCGGAGGTGCTGCTCAGTGGGAGACGGCTTGGTGCTCTGCCAGCCACTGTGGCACTGGCGTGTTAGCAAAGACGGACGCCTCAGCCCCATCGGCACCTCCCTCTGCAGAAGATGACAGACTGGCTCCAGCTCTGCCGACTGGCCAAGTGCACATGGGCTCCCCGAGGCGATCTGCCCCAGAGGCGGGCACACAGAATGCTGACTGCACCCTCCTCTCCCAGGAAAAGCCAAGACTTCCTGGAACCTACACTGACCTGCAGGACCCCCACCTCCACTATCTACCCCTGAGCGCACTGCCAGCCGCAGGCCCTTTGCACTTGCTGCACCCTGCTCCAGTATGCTCCCTGGTATGTCCACACCTGCTTCACACTGGAAGCCTCCCTGGAATTGCCCCCATGGCACTGTCTTGTCCCCCTGGAGTGGGGCTCCCATAGGGCTGGCTGGGCAGGATGTGTGAACATGCCCAGCGTGCAGGCTACGGCGCCAGCTGGCAGTGCCACGGGAGACAGCTAGCGAGCAGGCTGTCAGGCATGAGGACGATGCCCGAGGAAACCCAGTGGGACAGGGCCAGCACCAGGGCCTCCTGCAGAGGCTGCCCCTGGTCAGCTCGAAGGGAGGGAGGGAGCTGTGCCTCCGTGCAGGCCTCAGAAGCCACAGCCACGGGTCTTACCTGTGATGTTTTGCTGTCTCGTTCTCTAATTTTGTCCTTTACAAGTTTTATTAGTGAGGTGATGTTGTAAAACTCCGCTTCCTCCAGTACTCCTAGAATAGAAAAAAGTAACTTCCAGATTCAAGAATAAACATCCTGCCCCTGTCCCTCTGTGGACCACGGCCTGAGCCCGGCCCGGCCCAAAGCAGCTCCTCAGCTTTTCCGAACGGACGCCATGCAGACACTGTTGGCTCTCAGTGGGGCACCCTGGGATCAAGGGCAGAGGGCCCATTTCCTGAACAAACCATTGGCACATGCCACTCCAGGTGGCCTACTGGGCACTCTGTCACACACACATCTACTCTGAGCTCCGCCCTGGGCACCCCTGGATGGAACTCAGAGACTTTCCCTCCGTTGCCCGCGGGTCATCTACTTCCCTCGCATGAGGCCCAGAGGTGGCAGATGGCCTCATGCAGGTCTGTCACTTGGTGCCTCAGTTTCCCCATTCAACTGGAAGACAGGCTGGTTGAGAGGGCTGCTCCTGGCTCTAGGATTCATGCCAGTTTAGGGCTGCCTCTCTTCCCCAAGACTGCTGCTTGTGCTGCACCCTTTGAGGGACTCTCCGGGCCCAGGACCCCTCCTGCATATTCTGGAAGGGCCATGCTGGCCGCCCTATCCAGGCCTTGCTCTGCGTGGTGTCCCCACAGTGGCAGCGCCGGCAGCTTGGGGCTGTGGACTCCACTCAGGTGCATTCTACCCAGGTCCCCAGGCAGCAGAGTCAGAGGAGGAGGCTGGCAGTGGGCGGCTGCACCTCTGCTGTCCTTCTCAGGATGGCATGTGGCTGTGTAAGTCAGGGAACGCAGGCCTGGCACCAGCCTGCCGCTGTCCCCGACACCTGTGGGTGAGTGCTGGGGTGCTCCACACGCTGCACTCCCAGGGGCAGGCAGGCAGCCACGTGGGCCCTTCTGAACACGCACTGTTTGAAGCTGGCCAGGAGGCCAGGGACGAGGCCGGGGGTGGGGGCCTGTCTGCAGCAAGCCGCCCCAGGAACAGGCTGTGAAGTTCTGGCTTGAACCTTACAGATGCACCAACGAGACAAAAGAAGGTGCCACACAACGTTTGAGTGCACGTGTACACAGAGGGCCAAAAGGCGCAGGCTCCGGGCTGGAGGCCCAGGAAGGAAACCGACCAGGAGGCAGCAAGAGTGCAAGGAGTGAGCCCAGTTCAGTCCCGCGGTGGCTACAGGACCGCAGTCCAGCAGGAGCCAGAGCCCACGCGGAGCAGAAGTGCCTGGACCGCTCAGGGCCGCGGACGCGTGAGGCTCCCCACTCGCCGTGCCCAGTGCCGGACTGCGGCGGCACAGACGGCGCTCAGAGGTGAGGCTGAAGAGGGCCCTGGAAGGAGCGTGCCCGGGGCTTACCCAGCAGCCGCATCCAATGCTGTGCGAGCCAAAGTCGCCGTGAGAGGGAGCGCTAGCCCCAGCGGCATCGCTCGCCAGGCTCCTGACGCGGCCCAGAGCCCACGGCCAGCCTCCACCTCCCGGAGACCAGTGCCCACTGCCCTGTGGGGCACAGGAGAGAGGCAGCCGGGAGCCAGGGAGGGGACGTGGGCACCTGGGATTTCTGCAGGGGAAGGTGTGTCGGGCCTGCTCCTCGCAACCCTGTCGCTCGGGCTCCGAGGGGTCTGTGTCAAGTGACCCGTCAGCTTGTCCACTGGGCGCCTGGCCCCAACTCACCTTCCTCTGCGAGGTCTTTGTTGACGACCAGTTTCCCGTGTCTCAGGTAGTTCAGCACGGGCCCAAAGTAGGTGGGGTCTCTGTCGATTAAATAGGCACCCGTTTCATCCTACAAGGAAGAGAGCACCCTGAGTCCTGGAGGGCAAGGCAAGGGTCCCCCAAGTGACTCCAGGCCAGGCCGCACGGAGATGGCTGCAGAGGCACGCGGGTCCTGTGTGTCCCTTACCCCACAACCAGACTGCCACGGCACTTCAGGAGGCAGCTGTGCACACCTCTGGCAGCTGGCAGCCTCGCACCCTCGTGTGTCACCACCTCACGTCTAGGCCAAGTTCACCTCCCTTTATGTCCTTGGTAGCATGGTGACCGTGGCTCAAGGCACGGTTTGGCCTCCGTGCGGCTCAACGCTGCCCAGCACGAAGGACCTAACACACACTCTCCCCCTGGGCACCTGTGGCAGGGACTTCTCATCGGGGGAGGGGATCAGAGAGGCGCACAGAACCCTGCGGAGAGGCCTGTCTTCCACGGCAAGGTGGCCCCAAGGCCTCCCAGAGATTGCTGACCAAATGAGCAAGGACACTGCACACCTGCCGTGGGTCTGCTGGGCAGGGCCTGGCCGAGGCTGCCTTCCCATGGGGCAGCCCTGCAAGGACAGACCACACAGCAGCTGCGTGTCCGCCAGTGCCCACGGTGGGTCCTGCACCTCCCGTGAGCCCACCTCCCCTCCCCGTGGCCCCAGGGAGGCCCCCGAGACAACAGGGTGACTCCATGAGTCAATGGAGCGGTCAGTGTGGTGGGCTCTGGGGGACCCTCAGCAGGAGCGTGACCAGCCGAGACAGTGGGACACGCAGAGAACAGTGTGTCAGCACTTCTCGCAGGGCGAGCATGGTGGCGGGAACACCTGGAGCTCCTGGGTGTCTGTGCCTACGGACACTGGCCACAGACCTTGGGCAGCGGGAAGCGTCCTGACCGTAAAGCAGTAGGCCACATGAGGGCCCTACTTCTCACCAACATGTGCCAGAGGCTTCCTGACGCCACCCCCTTCCCCACTGCAGACCTGCTCTTCTTACATCAAGTCAATTAGGGCTCTGGATGTGGGCGTGCCGAGACCTGGACCCTTGATGCTCAGTGGGCAGGACCCAGGCACTCAGCCCAACCTCCTGGCAAGACAGGCCACGGCCTGCTCCCGTGGGCTTCTGTTCCCCAAGGTGCTGTCCCAACCACACACAGACCTCCCGAGTTCATCCTCGTGCTCGACCCCCTCCACCCCGCCATGGACCCCTGCCTCCCATCTCTCTGGACCCCTACCATTCTCTGAGCAAGACCAAGGAACCCGTGGACCAGCTTCTGGAGGAAGGATGCTCTACCAGTCTCCCTACTGGCAAAAAGTGGCCATGAAGTCGGGGGCTTGTCCCCAACCCCGGCTCAGGTGTGAAAAGAGCCCAGTGCAAGACATCGGTGCGTCACCAAGCTCAGGGATGACCCAATGGCTCACCACTACCTCGACAGACAGCTAGCAGAAGGACAAGATCAGACAGGGACAGGGCTCATGTCTGCCCTCAGGGCACCTGGGGAACCTCCTCGTCACACTGGGCCCAGGCCCCAGCGGACCCAGACTAGGGGCCCAAGAGGACCATCACAGCAGGCCCAAGCTCCGGCGGGTTGAGGCGGCGTGCGCTCAGCCCAGCGACTGTCTTCACGTTGGCACCACTGCGCCGGCCCTGGAGGGAAGGCAGTTCCACTAACCACTAAACCACCAACGCTGCCAGCCGTGGAGGGACATGCGGAGCCCACATCCCGAGGCTGCCCGGGGGGCCCCACAGTCGTGGACCCAGAACGGCGGGTTCGCTGAATGGCCTTGTGTGGCAGGCTGTGCCCCGAGTCATCTGACACCCGGGACGTGCCACCCCCTACCGGTGACAAGCCGGCCTGCCCAGCCCTGCCACCGAGGAGCAGCACTTACAGAAACTCAACAGTGGTTCCTTCCATGGAGGCCCGCCAAGGCTCTCGGACCGGTTCCTTCCTGGGGCTTTGTTTGGCTCTGATGGAGTCCGAGGTTAGGCGGGGCCGGCGGCAGCGTCAGGACGCCGAACTCCCTGTACTCGGACCTGTGCTTGTTGGGGGTGGGGGTGGGTGGGTTCAGCCTCCACAGCAAGTGCGGGGGACCCAACGCCAAGACCCCAAAACCCCACTGGGCTTTATCTCGGGCTGCTGCCCAGAGGCTCACAGACTCTCACCGAGATGCGCAGAGGCAGCAGGCTCTCGAGCTGCTGAGCGGGGCAAGGGCAGGCTGCAGACGGGCTCCCAGGACACTGCGGCCGGCTCGCTGACACGGCCCCTCACTGGCTGAGCTGGGCGTGCAGCCCTGGGGGCCTCCCGCCCACAGCAGAAATAAGGAAAAACACACAACACAGAAAGAAGAAACAAACAAAAAAACCCAATTCAGAATATAAATCTCAGGCTCACTTCTGCAAAAGCCCGGAGAACAGCATCTTGGTGCCACCTACACTGGCGACGGGTGTGGGGTGGGCAGCAAGGGCCGCACGCAGTCAGCTCCACCGTGTCCGCACGCGCCGCGGGGACCCCGGTCTGCTCACACCGGCGACGGGCAGCAGGGAATGGGAGCAGGACACAAACGCTGGCTGGTGGCAAGACTTGAGAGTCCCTCGTCTCCTCTGGCCATCCTGTCCTCGATTTATGCAAGCGTGTGCTACATTTGTAGAGTGGCAAGCTTTGTGTGTTTTTGTAAAAGAGCCTGAATTAAGCCTCCTTTCTTGACAAATCATTTCCCTCTGTTGACCTTCCCCACTTCTCACTGAATTAGCGTCTGACCTACTTGCGAAGTGCTAGCTTTAAAAATACACATGCACCTTAAAGACTTGAAACAGGGGAAGCTGGCCCTGGCTTAGAGATATGTAATGAGGGCCAACTCCCCACAGACTGTCAGTCCGCACGCTGGGAGCAGGGCAGCCCGAGGATGTCCGGGTCACCTGGATCCCTCTCCTAGGGGGACCCGCTCCAAGGCCAAGCTGCTGGTTTGCCCGGCAAGTCTGAAGCCTGGACCCCTAAGCTTGGGCTGCTGGGCCACTGGCGCCAGGCAGGGAGGCGGCCAGGCCAGAGATCGCGCCCTGGCCACGAGCCCCCTGTGCACAGTCATTTCTCCAAAGGAGCCAGTGAGCAAAGGTAGGGCCAAGCCCACATCACATGCTTTCGCAGGAGACCCCTAACTGCGGCCCCGACAAGGACAGGAGGCAGAGAGGACAATCCTGACTTGAAACTCCTGTCCCCTCCCCAACCTGGCCCGTTCTTTCCTTTCCGGGCCTACCCAGCATCCTCAGCCCACACCGCTGGTTAGGAAACAACGTTCTGCAAGGGGCAGAAACACACCCGCGCCCCTCGGGAGGCAGCCCCCAAGACCCAGGGTCTCCCCACTCACTCTGTACCCAGAAGTAAAACCTGGCCATGAGGGGCAGGGGGCAGGATCGCACGCACCGCCCAGCAAAGTGCCACGGGTAAGGCGGGGGCTGCTCATCCCTCAGGGCCAGCTGGTCCTGGAAACGGTGATGAGGAGTGAGGGTCAGGGATGCTGAACTCTCCCCAAGATTCTAAATGGACAAGAGCTCTGGGAGCGCGCTCTCCGTGGAGCATCTGCACTTGGCCCGGTTCCACCACCTCCAGGGCCTCCACAAACACGCCGGGAAGCAGGGCTCTGCCACCCCCTTGTTGCGGGATAAAGCCCAGCCGCTGGAGCCTGGAAATGAGGAGGGCTGAGTGTCCTGAGCTAAATGGGAGAAAAATTCCGTCACATCTCCCTGTGAAAATCTCAATGTAAACGCACAGAATTCTCTGTGCACCGACATCCGCGATCAACCTAATTAGAAATACTCAGCTTTTACCCTAAAATGATCCATCTCGAGGGGCTGTTCCAAATTTGCACAAGAAACCTTCAACTTCCACCCTCTCCGGTTTCATTTTCTACAGTCTGTCAAACCTCCGTCCAGGAGAGGCCTGGGATGTCACCAGTTACAAAGGAGAGGCAGAGACCCGGAGACCGGAGAGAGCCGTGGCCCCGGGAGTGTCAGCGGGCTCTGACTGCGCGTTCCCTGCGCGAGCCCCCCCGAGACGCCCATGTGTGCGGGATCAGGCGCACTCCCACTCCCTTGCCCACCGGGGGCCGAGGCGGGGTGCGTGCGTCCAGGTTCCAGGTCATTCCCAACCTCAGTGCCGGCCCTGGCAACAACCCCCCTCAGACCTCCAACAGCACCCAGCTCCCAGGGCCCTGACCCCCAGAGCATCCCAATTTAGAATGGCATACACGACCAGATGAGGCTCGCCCGGAAGCAAACACGGAGGCCTGTATGAAAGGACCCCCGCAAGGCCCAGGCTCCTCCTGAGCAAGGGTGTCTCAGACTCAGCCACGGCAGGTCCCCCGGGACCCCAGGAACCCGTGGGGGTGATTCAGAGTGACCCACTCAGTGTGGCAGGACCGGGGGCACTGCCAGCAGATGCCAGGTCACCTGTGCATACACAGGGGCTGGGTCACCCTGGGGCCAAGGGACAGTCCTGGGCAAGGTGCTCAGTGGACTGGGCAGCCCGAGAGCCAGCCATCAGAGTCACAGCTGCCGTGAACATTCATGCCACAAAGCCAGGGACCGAGTGTCTGCCAGGCCTTCGCAGGTGCTCCCCTCCCGAGAAGGTCTAGCCTCAGAACACCTGCACCTAAGTCCTCTACACATGTCACATTACTGACTCTGGGGTGAGAGTGCATGTTTAACATAAACCTGCTGGCACGAGAAAGCCAGCTAGCGACAGAAACGGGGGGGGGGGGGGCACCACAATCACCTGGGGCAGAAGCACCACACAGTGACTGACCCAGGGTCCCCAGCTGCAACACCCCTCGGCCACCTCGGAGGGGAGGCCTCCTCAAGCCCAGAGCCCCCGGGTCCCCAGGCGCCACGCTGCCCACGCCTCAGCCTAGCCCACTGCTCCTGGGAGGCCCTCGAGCCCGCCCCGCCAGCTGTCCCCGCAGCCACCGCCCTGCTGGCTCCAAGGCGGCCTCTGCTCTCTTCCCACACCCAGCCCCACGGGCAGATCTGGTGCGGAGTTCACCCGTGCTTCTTGCTGGGGCCGAAGGGCAGGCCCGTGGCTCCTCTGCTACCTCGCCGCACCTCCCCACTCCTTGCCCACTGCACAGTGCTGGGGCTCGGCCAGTGCCCCTGCGGCCTGCCTCTCCCTGACCTGTTTCCAAAAACCCACCTCAGTCTCTCTGCTGGAGCTGACCCAGCTCACCACCTCCACAACTGGGGCCACCCAAGCCTGACTGGCAAAACCAGGCCAAGCTCCCAGAAGCCCAACTGCTGAGGAAACTAGAAGCCACTGGAATGCGGACCATGGGAAGAGCCACTCGTGCACACCCACACGCGGACGCCTCAAGCCCATTCTGAACACGCGGGCGGATGGGACCGGAACCCTGGAGTCACGCTCGCCAGGCTCCAAGACCTCGTTTCTTGCAAGAAAACTCGCTGGCTGCCCAGGAAGCTGTGTCCCTCCCCGACGGCCCAGGCTCCAGAGCTGGGAAGCCGCCCTCGGGCCTGTCCTCAGCTCGGCCAGGAGCTCCGGGCCGAGTGCAAAGAGGCCAGCACGAAGGGCGGGAGGGCGGGAGGGCCGGAGGGCCGGGCTCACGCACGCACAGCGCCTTTCGAGGCCGGCAGCGCAGACCAGGCTGGGCGGTAATTCAGAGGCTACGCGCGTGACACAAACCGCAGCAAGGACAAATTCCGAAGCAGAGAGGAAAGCGCCCTCTCTAAGAACAAAACAGGGGGCAGTGTGAGGTGCTGTGGCCCGCACCGTCTTCCTCAACGCTCATAGCTCCTCCGTACCCCAGGGCTGCACAGCGGGTTAAGTTCTGGTAAAGGTCCAAGCCAGGCCCAAGTCCCCAGTCTCGCTCTGCCACCAGAGAAGACGCCCCGTCTCCAGTACCCACAGCACACCGGCGCCGGCCCGGACGTTTCTGGAGCTCTGCAGTCTGGGGGGAGCCCCCGGGCCACACGCAAACCTCCCTCGGTGCGGAGCCGGCCCGTTTACAGGACTTTACGGACTGCTGACCTGCAGCGGCCCTGGAAGGGAGCTGTGAGCGCGCAGCCGTGGGTGAGAGCAGCCACGGACACCCTGGCAGCGAGCCGGAATGAAACCGATTAGCAGCATCAGCCCGGTGGGCCACGGGGTCCTGTGGTTGAGGATGTGGCTCTGAGCACAGCTCCAAACCAAGCCTAGTCCCCGTGCGGGGCAGAAAGAGGAAGTGCAGAGACGACCCTTTCCGCCCGGGCTGCCCTCAGACAGCCGACGGCGGGGACAGCTGCAGGCCCAGGGCCTGTGTCTGATGCCCTAGAGCAAGCTCTTCTCACTTAATGCAAGTCCCTTCCTAGGACGGTCTGGCCTGGACTGGACTCACAGGCTGCTTCGGGTCCGGGGCTGTCCACTCAGGTGCCCTGTGGAGATGTACCGTGGGCTCTGCCAGCAAGCATCTGCTGCACAGGGGGAAGGCGGGGGCCCCTCCCTCGGCCTGGGTCCTAGGCCAACCACGGCACGTGGCCAGGGCTAAGAACATGCTCAGAGCCACATCCTTGACCACAGCGTGAAATGAAATGCACCAGAGTCTCAGGTCACCCACTCCGGGCCTCAGACAGGACAACACGGCTCTCTCGGGTGCCCGGGATGCCCTTCGGAATTCGAGAAGTTAGCCTTTCGTCTCTGATTTAGTTCCCTGGAGCGTAATCTGCTCTTTCCACACTAAGGAATCCCCACTTCTCTTGCCAAGCAACTTAAAAGTTTGTACTTCCACCCACATCCCTCATCGCTTGGCCGTGCCTGTAAACTCCCTTCCACTCTCTCTCCAATCCCAGCACTCTTGCCAACACCAAGCGCACCCAGAGTGAGCACAGGCAAAGAGCTGCAAGTGACAGGTCACCAAGAGGCCCTGTGACGGCCCCACCCCTCAAAGACCCATCTGCAACACAGCATCTGCCAGGACAAAAGCTCAGGTTTTCTCCAGGCCTGGCTCAGGCAGCACAGAACCCACCTCAAATCCTACTTAATCTGAGTGGTTTCCAACCACCAAGCATCAGTATTTCCTGTTTCCCTTTCAACTCCTAGAGCAAGCATCTCCACACCGAAACACGGGCTGATTCAGCTCTGAACAAACGCTACCCTGTTTTCAGCAGTGCCTGACGGGCCAGGTACCATGGAATCCAAAGAGACTTAACCCCAATGAATCACACATCAAGCATTCACCAAGCACTTCCAGGAAGGAGTGTCACACCCCGCCCACCCCTTACGAGAACCTGGGAGAAGATGACCCAGACAGCAGGGGGGCAGAGGCTGAAATGAACACCCCAGACGCAGCCCCACTGAGGAAGTGAGAATTCATACTTGACCAGTCTACAGAGAGCCGCACGGCAGCCGTGGGGCTAGAGTCAGCACTGAGACAGGAGGGTAAGGGTTTGCAGCCCAGAGCTGGTCTCAGGCTTAGTCCCGAGAGAGGGAACACGGACTTAGGGGGAGGGGGACCGCCTGCAGTCCTGCTCCCCACCTCCTCCCTAACAACCTGTTCGTGGCCTTCAGAAAACACTCCATCACTCCACCTCTCCCACAGGCTCCCGCAGTGTTTAAGAGCAAGCTCCAGGCACTTTCCCAATGAATTTCAACCCATCGGGCTCCCAAAAGGTTCCTGGTCTCCCCTTCCATGGAACAACACCCCCCCGCCCCAATCTCCCCACTCAACCCCTATCCAAGCACCAGCTTGCTGGAGCCCAGGAGCTCAATAAACACTCTCCAGGTGCCCAGCAGGAACCTTCCACCAGGTCTGTGCTGACGTCCAGCCCTAGGGACATCTGTCAGGTATGCTTTCATCCATTTTAACTATGAAGTGAGGGCTTCGAGGTTTTTACAAGTGAATCAACATCCTGTTTCTCTTCCATCATGTCCTAATCACTGGCTGTCCCACTCTTCCAAACACCCCTTCCCCTCCGCCCTCAGCCTCCGCTTCCTCTCACACAGGGTCTAATTATCTAGGAGTGAATCCCTGGGACATTCTTTCATTAGAAAGGCAGAGGGGGGAAACGGCACTGAGGAGACCCAGTATCTTACACTTTGCAGCTCATCTGAAGGAAAGAACTCACTCTCCGGCCCCGACCGATGTGAATCAGCATTACTCTTTCTGGCAAACTCCCATTACGCTCGACAAAAACGCACGCTTATTCGCGAGCAACTATCCTATGAGACAGAAACAGTATCTGCTGCATTTCCTTCGTGTTCTAAAGTTCACTCTTAAAACCTGGAGATCAAATGCGGGCAAGCGCCCCACGGTGACAAGAAGCGACCGCACCAGATGCATTGCACCAGATGCATTCCGGTGGGTTAACTACCTCCCCCAAAGGGCTGTTATTTACAGTAAGCATGTTTTGTTTTTTTTTTTTTAAGTCGTTTTGAGACAGTAAAATGGAGGCACAAACGGACTTAACTGGGAGGGCTATCGTTCATTGGCTCTGCCTTAATTGTTTTAGTGAACAGAGAGACTGTGCCTCAAAAAAGAAAAAAAAATGCAATGGACAAGAGAAATTTTTAAAAATCAGATTCGATCTACAAAACAGGAACTCTCAAGTAGAAATCCCAGTGAATGACCGCTGTGGCCCAGGGTTTTAATACCAACCAACCAACCAACAGAAAAACGTACACCCTCACCATGAAAGGAAAATCACAGCAAACAAAAGCCTATTTCTGTCCTGGAGAGGTCTGCCATTTTCTGGGAGGTCAGTTCTCCACCAGCGGAGAGCTGGGTCAAAGCGGTGGAAGCAGCTGGGGTCGGCGGCGTGGGCAGGGGGACGACTGGAGCGCGGGCATCTCAAACCCTGATTTCTGCCAAGGACAAGTGGTCTTGTGGTAGCTCAGGAGCTCTCGTTTCTGGATCCTAAGGTCACGCCACCCGGAGGATGGGCTCCGTCAGCCTTCCCAAACTTGAAGAGGGAGCTGCATCTCTCTGGGAAGACTTGTGCCTGGCAAGCGTTGAGAGGACGAGGCACAAAGCCAAGTGTAATTATGTACGCTCCACTGAGAAGACCAAGGAAAGTTAGAAGGTTGTGAACCGCCTGGGATAAATATAGGTGACAACTACTCTTACGACTGAGCCTTCTCCGAGTCTCAGCCGGTACAGATCCTGAGCCGCTCTTCTCAGCCACACGGGTCTCACAAAGGGAATAATCCAGTTTCCATTATGATCGGCACCACCGGAGGAGCCCTTAATGAAAGACAAGCTCCCCTTTCGGGAGGCCGGTGGGGACGCAGCCCGTAAAAACATCCCTACCTGGTCCCTCCTGGCCACCCCTCGGCCCGCGCAACCTTCGCTTTGAGAAATTACTCCACGGACGGCCCCTTCTGCGAGTGCTGAGTGGGCGCGTGTTGTGGCTGTAAACGACGGAGCGCCAACTCTCTAAATGCAAGTCACTGGGAAAGGCAGGTCACCCGTGTCACCCCCCCCCCACGCCAACGTGAAGGCAAACGTCTGGAATGCGAGAAGATGAGGAGGCGGCCAGGGCTCTCCGATTCCAGGACCACGAAGTACACGGGGACACAGACGAGGCGCTCCCACGGGGGAAAAGAAAGTGGATCCCCAGCAAGGTCCGGGGCGTGGGAAAGCTCCGCCGGGGGGCGGAGGGGGCGAGAGCGAGCCGAGGCGGGCCGGCCGCGCGTCCTCAAGGGCGGTGGGCGCCCGGGCAACCAGCCGCGGCCTCCCCGGCCCGGGACGGGGAGTCGGGCGGCCCTCACCTTGTCCGAGTCCAGGTCGGGGTCGGCCTGGCACAGACGGTACAGGAAGGATTTCGGGTCCCGGCACAGCGTCTGCCGGGTGGTGAGGAAGTAGGTGCCGCCGACGTTGAGCCGGACCCACTTGGACACCCCGCCGGGGCGCTGGGCCAGGGCGCCGAGCCCCGCGCTGCAGCGGCGGCACAGGCCGGCCCCCAGCCCCGCCCCGAGGCCGCCCGGGGCCGGCGGCAGCACCTCGCAGTGATTCTCCGCCATGATCCCAGCAAGCCCCGCCACAGATCCTCCCCACCGGAAGCGTCCGGCCTTTAATACCGTCCTCCTCGCTCTGTCCCGCCCACGGGTCCGCCCTCATAACGCGCCCGCCCTGGTGTCACGCGGCAGGCGGAAGTTCCGGTCCGGAAAAGCGGCCGGCCGAGCCCCCTTCCGGCCGGAGCTGGGCGTCGGGCTCGAAGGGCTCGCCGGCCTCCGCCCCGCGGGCGTGCACCGCGCAGACGCTGGGTTCCGGGCCCGGAATGCAGGTGGCCACTGTGCCCGACCCGCGCCCCCGGTCAAAGAAGAGTTACGCCAGCGACCGTCTACACTCTACATGCTTTTTTATTACAAGACTACCGAGCATACGTGGAAAATTCATCATCCAGTAACTACATCTAAAGCACAAATATTTGAAAAAAAGAGAAGAAACAGATTCATTAAATTATATGATTAAATCATTGACCAAATAGAAAATTTATATAATAAAGCCAGAAAAAAAGTTGTAAAATATAGTTTACAATAATTATTCACATTCAAGGCTGTACATCAATACATACAACAACGTGGCCCCGAACATGAATTCAATCCAAATAATTCATATATTAGATTTTAAATAACACAGACTGAACTAGAGGCCAACAATAGCCAGCAAATAACCTTATATAAGAATAAAAATACAAAAGTGTATATCCTAATATCATTGCATTATTTGTTTTCATAGGTTTTAAATTTTTGCTTTGCCTGTACATCACAGTTACAGCTACAGACCAGGTAGAGAATTTTACACATGTTCTAACTGACTGCCACCAACCTGAAAGACAGCTACCATACTATTGATTCATCCTATTTTGTGTAAAGGAACAGCTACAGCAGCTCTAAATACTGCAAAAATTTATTTTTGTCAACGTCCAATCAAACTTCTGGTAAGGATAGAGGCTTTTCACCAGCAAAATGACCCCTATTCCTAAGTCATTCTGCCAGACGGGTTGGGACTAGGGCGCATCACACGCGAAGAAAAGGTCTGCCTTTGTAAAAAGTTCTCTGCACGCGAAGGTTGGTGCTTCTTCATACTGAAGAAGTGGGTTCTGGGGAAAACAGGTACCCATGCAGGCCGGTCCAGCTGTCTGTCACAGCAGTCTTGAGCCACAGGGAAAATGGCTCTTCGCTGCAACAGCTCCTTCCCCAAACCAGTTCTCCACAGGCAGCCTGATTTGCAACTCCGCAACCCGGGCCGGCAGCCTGCACCCCTCGGACGCTCTGGAAGGGACTCCTGCCCTGATTTAAGGCACTTGCCATATAGGCTGCCTAAGAGGGAAGGGCCACACCCACCGGAGTCACCGTCAGCTCACGTGAGCTCTGGATGAAAAGAAAGGATGTGGGAAGACGTACATGGCGACATCTCCAAGAACAGTACCTTTATCGTACTCTGGCAAGTGGCTGCAGCCTCTGCATCTGGGGAGTGAGCACCCCCAGTCTGTGCATCAGACAGGGGGCGGGGGACCTGGGGTGTCAGGGGAGGGCAGGAAGTCCAGTTCTGCACAATCTAGCCAAAATCTCTGGCAGACTTGTGATGCTGCGTACGGCACCAGAAGAAATCTCTCACGCACCTCTCCCCTCGCAATTAGTGGACCCCAAACTACAGTGGAGAAATTAGGAATGAAAGCAAACTGGGTGGCCTGGGTTTGAAGCCAGCCAGACAACCTGCAACACCGCAAGGGCGGACAGGGAAGGAGTCCCAAAGGCCAAAAGGGTCAGGGCCACCAGCCTCTACTGGAGAAGGCCTGGCCGCTGCGCTGGAATGAACGGCTGAGACCTCCGTACTGAGCACCACGCCTTGAGCAGCGTGGGGCCAACAGCCTTCCGGGAAACCCAGCTGCCTCCGTGGTCTCTTTCTCAAGCAGAGGGTTTGCTCTTCTAAGGATTCCAAATGGCCCAGTGTATTTTCTGAGTCTGCAAACTTAATGACAAATCACGCACTGAGTGTGTGGCAAGGTCAGTTCAGTATCTCTGCTGCCTGTGCAGATGCAGATTCAGTACCGTTGTGGACACGAAGCACAAGCTTCGGAAAATCCCAGCAAGCGCCTGAAAGCCTTGGCAGCAGGGACGGGAAGGTGCTAACATGCAAGCGTCATCAGATCGTCCATGAAAATAAGGAAACGACTTTCGGAAGAATCTGTCACAAACGGGCTGCAATAAATGGGATCACTTTAGCATTGTGGGGGAGAAAAAAAAGAGTGTCTTACTGGGACATCCTTTGGGACACACACTTTAGCAGAGACGGATTTGTTCTGAATGAGGAGCTTGTGGACTAGCTCTGAGCACCCAAGCCTCAGGTCAAGACGGAGCAACACAGACTAACGCCACCTTGAAAACAAACACTCTGTGACCCCAAAACACTACCTCTAGAAACTGGGGGTGGGGCGGGGGGGGCATCGGAGTCAAAATCCAGGATTTAGGATATCCACCACAGCATGATGTAAATAGTGAAAACCCAGAGACCATCCAAATGTTTTATAATAGGAAAATGGTCAGATAGGTGATGGTAAAATTTATAACCATTAAGCTCTACAATCACTAAAAACGTTTTTAATCACTGTTTGTGACGTGGAGAAAGGCCCAAGATTAACGATCGAGTGAAACAAGCTAGACGCAGAACAGTGTGTGCTTCATGTTCCCAGTTTAGTTCAAAAAGCAAACACATGTGTGTGCATGCGGGGGGGGGGGGGTGGTCTCTCCTGGGCGGAAAGCCTACAGGCGATACTCTTGGAAAACAAAATGTTTGAAGAAAGCACAGAACCACCTGGAACCCCTGGGCTGGCACATGGCCCTGGGAGAGTCTGTGCCACGGGGCTGCCTCCTGCGATGCCCACAGGCCTTGGCCACAAATACCACAGAGCGGCAGCAGGGGCCTGGAGAAGGCGCGGGTCCTGCCAGCCCTGGCACGAGCGTGAGGCATCTCCCGCAAGCAGGTGTGTAACACGCTCTCCTGAGAGCCAAGATCAGAACAGCAGGACAGCACAGTGCCGGGCCCCAGGCAGGGCCTTGTGCAGCCCATGGGGCCACCTGATACCACAACCCAGTGTCCACACTCCTGCTCAGGCCCACAGAAAGAGGAAAGGAAACAGTCCCACCCAAACCTGGCTTCCTGGAGTTCCCAGAGAGGGGCGACGCGCGGGGGGCCCCCTGAGCCTGTGGAGGCCACAGGCCAGCCCCCTACCCTATGCCTGGCGAGGCCACGTGGTGTGGGACCGGCCCTGCTTGCCGGCTATGCGGTTTGGCACTGAACCTTCTCCTTGCCCTCACTGACACACGGCTCCTGGATCTAGTCAGCAGCAGGGCACTTTCTCGGCGTGGCTAAATCATCCGTCCTTTCACGTACGCCTGTGTGCATACTCGACCGACAGCCATGCCCACGTCGTAGAAGGCAAGGCGCCCGCACGCCGGGGCAGGAGCTCCGAGGACGAGCTGCACGCGACGAAAGCGGACACGGGCGAGCACAGGGCAGGGAAAGAACATGCATGTGCCTTTGGGGGCGCGAGGGCTCTGAGAGAGAGGAAGGTGGCATGCGGAGAAGGGCTCAGCTGTCCCTGGCTCAGGTAAGGGCAGTCACTTCAATTCTGTCAGCTGCAAGCTGAACCCCGAACCCCTCATTCTCTAGTTTTGGAGGCCACGATGGAGCGGGGGGTGAAGCCCAGGAGGCAGTGGCACCGTTCAGGGGGAAGGCAGCAGCGGACTCCCGTCTCCCCCAGAGCAGCCCAGCTGAGTGCTCTCGTTCAACCGGTGCCAGCTCCGCTCGTCCCTGTAGCCGGACCCGCGGAAGCCGTGGTGCAGCAGCAGCCCCCAACGCTCCGAACGGCCCACCCACGGGCGTGGGGGCTCCGAGAAAGGCAAATGATCAACATGGGGAGAAAGCTGGAAATGACGTTCCTGAAGGCCCGGCAAGACCTACGTTTCTGAAAAGCAGGTGAACACAAAAGCAAAGAGGAGGAAGAGGGGAGATTGACTTAGGACCCTGGCCCGGGACAGGCACGCCCCCAACAGCCTGGCATCCGCCCTGGCGTGGGCACGCGTGCACACGCACCCTCGCTCGTGCGCAGCTCTCACACAGCAGTGCACAAGACTCAGGCCCCACCTCCGCTCCCGTCCAGCCCCCGCATGGCCCAGCAGGGACACCTCCGCGGCCATGCTTCCCTCCCTGGCTGACAAGGGCCACTGTTCTCACTAAACCCGTTTGAGAAAGACATCTTTTTTCTAAATCTGGACCACTCTTCAACACGGGGTGTCGAATGCTTTGAGACAGGAGATGGGGGCAGAGTTGTCAGGGGGAATCTTTCATGTGTGAACCTTGTGCTGGTGCCTTCATGAAAGTTAAAGGAAACTACAAAGTTGTTCATCCCCTGGAGACAGACAGAATGTCTGTGAGCGGCCTGCAGGCTGTGGACCACCCTCACGGGACAACCTGGGCAGGGAGAAGAACTCTGAGCCCCACCAGGCCCACAGGCTTTCTCTGTCCAGGGGGCAGCAGCAAAGAAATCAAAGAACCGGTAAATCGTGGACCCCCTGCGGTAGGTACACAGCACTGAGCTGCCATGAAGACGGAAAGGCAGGCCGGCTAAAAGCACAGGGGTGAGCAGGCTGGGCGCTCAGACCCCCGTGTGGTGTTCCTACCCTCGTGCAGGGACACCGACGCTTTCATCCCGGCAAGGCCCACGTCTTGCTGGGGATCAATGACCAGGCAGCGGGAGGCGGCTTTCAGACTTTCACTGCGGAGATGTGAACGTGCTGGGAGTCAGGCTACGAGAACGTTTCCTCACCATGAAAGGGGTGTGTGTCACAGCTGGGCGACCACTGGTGCCCAGAGCCCCTCAGCCCTAGCAAACCGCCCAGAGGGCCTACACGTTCCACCCTCTGACCAAACTCTCAGGGGGAGTTCATCAGGCAGCACTCCTCCACGTGGGCGACACTGGGCCCAGTCTGCCCTGCTGCGCGGGCGTTGCACGGAGCGGGGCACAGCCCTCCCTATCTCCTGGCACGAGCGGGCGCCCACCTCTGACCGTGCTCTTTCCGGACCCATGCCTCCTTCTAGCTCCACAGGGCCAACCCCGCGCAGAGGGACGCTCAATCCGAACGGCCTGCCGGCACCCTCCGACCTCAGCAGCGGCCCCATCACGCACCCCGACAGCCCGCTCCACGTGCCCCCACCCCCCCTCCCGGAGCCTGCCCAACGAGCACAAGGCATGGAGCACTCACAGCCAGAGCAATGCAAGAAGGCAAGCAGGGGCCCTGGCGGGGCACAGGGGCATCAAGTAGGGACACAAGAAAAAGAGCACACAGACCAAAGCCAAGAACCCCCCGCCCCGCAGAGATCGAAGCCGCTCCGGCAGAGGCGCACACGGCTCCCTGCCAACGGGCTCTGTGGTCACTGAGGGGCAGAAAGAGCCCAGACACACATCCCATCCCCTCGGCCACAGGAGGACCGGCCAGTGGGTGACCAGGGCGTGTGGCGCAGAGCTGGTGACTTGAGTCTGTTCCACTTGCCCAGGTGGGAATCAGGTGGACGTGCACAGCGCGGGGTCCCCACGGCGGGGAGAGCTTGGGGAGCCTCCACAGAGCACAGAGAGCAAGCAAAGCGACCCTGAATTCCTTTTCGTTATTGGTTTTGTTCTTTGTGTGGTTGGGTATTTTTTTCTTCTTTTCTTTTAAATAAAAAAGCTGCAAGGTTCCGCCGTCTGCGTCCCCCTTGAGATGGCTGGCAGGTGGTCTGGAAGCGTCCCGGACGGTGGCGAGCTGCGCTGGGGCGCGTGTCCTGGCAGCAAGAGCAGCAGCCGCGGCCTGTCACTGCACGGCGGCGTCCGGGTGGCTCTGGTATCTGTGTCTCCACACCTCCTGGATCTTTTTGCACCATTTGTGAGCATTCCCACTTGGGTCCATCAGGTAATACGTCCTGTTTGGCTGTGGAGACAGAGACCACGAGACGTTGCAAGGGGGTCCCACTAAGAGCAGCGCCCCACTGCGGCCGCCACGGGGACCTCCGAAGGCACATGAGCACGTGGCTTTCCCCTGCCATACGTGCAGACTTCACACGTGCACACAAGGACCCCAGCTCCCTCGGGTCACCCCCATCCTGACGAACATGCACCGGGGCCCCGGGCACGAAGAAAGGGGCAGACAGCCACCTTGCAGAGGACAGCCTGCACGAACTCACCGTGTGCACGAAGAAGGTTTTAAAATTCTTGGCCTCTGGTCGGAGCTCTTGTGACCACGGAATTTCCCCTTTCAGGACTTTGTTGACAGGATCCACATAATACAAGTGGGGCCCTTCTGTAAGCAGTAACTGTCGTCGTCGTGCAAACAAGCCCTGATGCAAAAGGAAAAGGCCCTGCTCATCAGGGCTCAGAAGTGGGGGCGGGCGGCACCTACCGCAGCCTTGGAGGCCGGGCCATCAGAGCAGCCTGGGCCACCGGGACCGGCGCCAGCCCCCCGCCCTCTCACCTGGGACCTGGCCTCCTCCTGGCCATGGCCCCGGCCTCTCAGGGCAGAAAGGGGCAGGCAGAACATAGCGCCCAGCCTGCCTGGCCTTCGTGGGCTGGATCCCAACAGCCCCACTTGGGCGTGTCTCGCTCCCTTGTCACACAGGGGAGCGGCAGCGCCGACAGGCAAACCCGAGCCTGCTCCACCGAGCCTGCTGGGGAGACTCAGGGCGCCCCTCGTGCCCTCTGCACCACGGGCAGGGGTGGGTGGAGTGGGGGAACGCATGCTCCCCACTGCCGGTGCCGCACAGGGTCGGCGTGTGCAGCATGGCCAGGAACGGAATGGAGGCCTGGGAACTGAACTCAGAAAGGCCCGCGTTGGCAGAGGGAGAGCGTTTGTGGAGCCTGAAATTTCTGACACAATTAATCCATTTAATTAATCCAGAAAACAAACAAATAACAATTTTCAAAAACAATTCTAATGAACTAAGAGACAATGTGATAGGGTATCAAAACCCTGGTTCCAAGCCAGAAACGAGAGGCTGTACTTCTATTTTACCACAGCCTTCCTGTGTGGTTTCAAACAGCTTCCCCTGAGCGGCTCGAGTCTTCCTGAGCCGCCCAATCTAGAAATGATCTTTCGAGAAAGGGAACCAAGACCAAGGACGCACGCGCAGCAAGGGTCAGGCAGAGCCCGCGGCGGAGGGCCAGACCCTGACGCAGCTGAGGCGAGACAAGACACTCGGGGAGGTACGGCAGGAATCGGACTCACCTTTCGCTTATCGACGGGACCCATCTTTAGTATTAAGTTATTTTCTACAAACTGATGCCTATAAAAAGAAGAAAACAAGAGTGAGACTCGCAAGTCAGGATCAGAAACTCTCCACGCTCCTCCACTCAAACCGAACTTCCTGAGGGCATCTGTGACCCTCGCCCACACCTCTCCAGTCACAGCCCCAACTCGCTCCAGGAACTCGGGGGCCCCCACTGTCACAGCCCACGCAGGCGCCCACCGCTTGGAGCCTTCGGTTGGGGTGCAGACCGGCACTGGCACACGGAGCCCCGGACAGGCTGCAGGCTGCTGAGAGTCAGCCTCAGGACCCAGACTGTCGGCCGCGCGCTACCTCCTGAGCGGGGCCCGCCGGTCCAATGCTCAGAAAGCACCGAGCAGCCGGGAATCATGGATCCCAGAAAGGCCCCGGCCGGGCTCAGTTTAAGAACACCTTCTCCGGTGTGTCTACCGCAGTCACAGAGCTCTCCCACTCAAATATGGCAGGAGCTGGGAGGAGAGAGCGAGGAACACAATTTCGACTTACTGTGCATCGTGAGCAAATACTTTACACTTGGGCTCTTAGCCGGATCAAAGACGTTACTTAATGTCTGTAGGTTCTTGCTTTTGGTTAAAGTGAGCCATGACCAGTTTATGTTCTCACTCTACCGAAATTCCTTATCTGAGGATCTACTGTAGAACGCAATACTGTATTTGCAAAGGCCTAAGACAACTGTCACCTCAAACAGTGACACTTCTACCGCTTTAGTATCTGAGCGCACCCATACAGGACCCAGTGCGTGCAAGACAACCGGCCAGGCCGGCGGAACCGTGTCCCCCCACCTGGCTCACCTGGCCCCGTGGTCTGCCACACCAAACCAAGCAGACCCATGGCGGCTCCAGACCTCACGGAGGCCGTGTCCCCAGGGACCCAGCCTGCATGTGAGGGGCCCCAGCTGCATATGGATTTTGAAAACTGGAAAGGATTTTAACAAAAAACGTGCTATATGAGGGTAAGTACAGTACTTCACTCTTAGAGGTATTTAAAAACCTAACCAACAAACAGAACCAAGACTTGAAGCAGAGGAAGAAAATTCAGAGGATTCTGGGAAAGCAGATGTAACCATCTGCAGCACAGAGAAAGGTCACACAAAAAGCCTCTGCTGGCCAGGAGACCCTCCTGCACAAGCCCTGGACATACGGTGAGGCCCGCGGGCTATCGCAAGGAGAAGACGTGGATTTAGCTATACTAGGTGCGGGCAGCGAGGCCCGGGGCGCTGGGCAGATGGTGCCATGGTGCCAGGGAAGCCGGACACAGGCACAGAAAGAAGTGGCCTCCTGGCGTCTCCGCAGCCTCACGTGGTCTGACAAGAGACACCAAATAAAATATTAACTCGAACAAGAGATTCTGGTTTTCCCTGAGCTTAAGAAGCTGGGGAAGATCTTTCTCGAAGACAGCCAACACTGAGTCCAGCTCACTGGCAGCCCCAAAGCAATCCAATCCCTGGCCAGCGCAGAGCTGGGGGGGCGGGGCGGGGAGTCCCTCTCTAAGCAGCAGTCAGAACCACGGGAGGACAAGAGGGCCACGGTGAACCCGAGTGCAGGCTGGAGAGGTCTCGAGCAAGCACGGCCCACGGGGTCAAGGCCGCTCTGCAGAGCACACACAGAACAGGAAAGGCTTAAAGCTTCAAAAAAAAGGGAACAAAGGATACAAACTACAAATTCCCCAAAGAGGGAATGACCCCAAGATTTTCAATGGCTCTAAACAAAACTGAGCTAGCTGCCCTTCCCACATGCCCTACTGGGGCGCCCCGGTGCGTGTGTGAGCGCCGGCTCAGCACAGGCGCCTGTGGTCCTGAACCTGAAGTCGCTTAAAAGCAATATGGAGGGGCGCCTGGGGGGCTCAGTGCGTTAAAGCCTCTGCCTTCGGCTCAGGTCATGATCTCAGGGTCCTGGGATGGAGCCCCACATCGTGTCTCTGCTCAGCCGGGAGCCCGCTTCCTCCTCTCTCTCTCTGCCTGCCTCTCTGCCTGCTTGTGATCTCTGTCAAATAAATAAATAAAATCTTTTAAAAAATAAAAATAAATAAATAAATAAAAAGCAATTTGGAAATGATGTGTGGAGACACAATCCCACTCCCAGCCACCTACCCTCAGAGAGTAAAGAAAAATGAAGATTACAAGCACCAATGTCCACGACAGTATTACAGTGACACCGACACCACTGCAATGGCTCAGCAACAGAGCATTCTGGCACTACAGGGAAGCAGGCAAGCCCCTTCCTCGTCCCTGCTGCGAGGACCCCACCGACAGACCCCAGCCCGACCGTGTGCGCCAGCATGCTCCCAGGCCCTGTCACACGTGCAAGCGCGGCCCCTGCTCTCGCACTCCTCCCGGGAGGCAGGGGGACAGCCAGCGCAGGCTCCTGACTGGGTCCAGCAGCTGCAGTGAAAGGACCACGGGGCAGGACACGGAGAGGCTCAGAAGTGCCATTATCAGCACACACACCACAATGCGATCGCGCGGTGCACTCACCAGTCAGCTTACAACAGGCTGCTTGTGAGCTACCTTGAAAAGTTTAAGTACTTTTAAAGGAATCGTTCTGAATTTTTTACTTCAAAAAGTCATTTTCCACTCCCCTGAAAGCGCAGCCCCTGAGCCCTGCATGAGGCGCCTTTTCCTCGTTGGCAAGTGGTAGATGCTGCCTGCAGACTCGCAGCCGAAACCAGATCAGTCAGAGACTCTCAGAGCGTGGTCAGCAGGCAGCTCCCCACAGCCCTGCTGCACACAGGCGACACTCACCACCGGCTCTGTGCCCATGTCCACATGGACTTGCTCACTGTCCTTTCGCAAGGGGGGCCAGTGTCGAGATACTCCTTCTTCCTGATGGTAAAGCCTGGGTTCTCTCCTCTTCCGCCTATCCCTCCCGGAACTCCCAGGCACCAAGAAGATCATTCTGGAGGACGTGAGCCTGAGACCACAAGCAGGTCTGAGCCACTGTAGGGCACAATCACTGCCAGGGGAGCCAAGCGAGCCTGCCAGAACCCTGAGGTGGCCCTTTTGACCACCTCAGGAAGGCTCTCCACACTGGGCTTTGACACAGGTGACGGAGGGACAAGTGACTATGACCAGTCTGCCCTAAATGCGAGCTCTGGGGACCCCTTTACACCCTCAAACTTGATGGAAAATCCCAAAGAGATTTCCTTTATTGAGGCTATACATGTTGATGTTTATGTGGAAGAAATTAAAATGGAGACATTTTCAAATATACATTTAACTCATTAAAAACCAAAAATAAAACCATCATATACTAACTTAAGTGATATTTTTATTCAACAGTCACTTTTTCCCAAAACAAAGATAATTCATGGGAAGCCTGACCCCGCTGTACATTTTGCAAATCTTACCATCTGACTTCGGAAAAGACAGCTCGGCTCCTGTCAGCTTTGGCCTTCAGTGGGCTTTGCCCTGCTGGGCAGGCTGGAGCACATGCAGGACTCAGCCTCATTTAGGCAAGGAGCTGGACAGGAGGGGGCACCTTTAGAAACCTTTTCGGACACCTATGGGCGTTCTTCTCTAATAAAGCACCCAAACTCTACCAGTGGAGTTCCTTCAAGGTCCGCTGCCACCTGGAGTGGGGAGTGGCCGGTGGCACTGTCACACTCAGACATTGGACTCCTTGGACTACCTGGCACTCTGAACAACTCTGCCCCCAGCACCTACCTGGAAAACAGTAGTTTGCTGAGTCCCGGAAATCGTCCCAACAACGGTAAGTTACCCCCCACGATCTCAATCAACTCTCTGCCGTCGCTACCTCTCTCCCCAACAGTCTAAGTCCTGGGAAGGTATCAAACTCACAATGATAGATGAAGCTTCCCAAAATCCTAATTTTGATCTCATCTCTGGTAACCAATACTGGCAGTTGTCTTAAAGCGATGGGCTCATTCTACTCCTTTTCCAGAAAAAACGGCCCCAGGGCCAAGGCTGAATACCCACAGCGTGACAGTAAAACGGCAGTGACAGCGGTCCTCCATGCGGGGAGAGGCTGGCCGGGTTCCCGACGCCAGGGCTCTGCTTCAGAGAACTCGCACGGGATGGATGCTCCTGGCACACTTCCCATTCTCCTCAGACCGCTAACAAAACCAGGTATTTGACGACTACTCCTCAGTGAGTCCGCTTTCCGTTCTTCCTGTGCGTGCGTGCGTGCGTGGGGACCCCAGGTGCTCGAGCACTGACCTGCCCCCACGCTGTGCCCACCACGGCTCCTGCAGCACAGGCCACGGGTCAACAACACATCTGTTCCAGAGCAAGCACGAGAGTCCCAAGGAGCACTCGGGCAGACCCTGCACCCAAGGCAGTGCACACAGCACACTCGGTCTTCTTCGTGCAACTCTGACGGAAAACCTGACTGCACTGCAGGACGGGCAACCTTCCCAGACAGTAAGATCACGCCACTGGGTGCTGGACAAGTTGGGATGGTGCATGCCGGAAGCATTCCGGGAAACTCTCTGGCTGACGAACTTGCCCTTGTGGGTGTTTTGGGAGATAAACTCAAAGGAGAGATGACGGGGCTGCAACACGGAACTTGTTTCTTTGGGAGCTAAAACTGCACGGAGAGAGGTGGCTCTCCGCTGCCAACTCCAGGCCTGGGCTGGTAACTGCAGGCCCCCAGCAGGAGGGAGGCGGCTCAGATGTCCGTGTCTTCCAGTTCACTGTCCCTGGGACAGGCAACTGCGGTCCTAGCGGTTCTGTGGCTGTGGTCTCCAGCCCGGCAGGCGGTCTCACGTGTGACCTGGGACCCGGGGGACTCCCCGAGCACGAGTGCGGTGTGGCTGCAAGGGCGTATCATCTGGATTCTGTTAGATATTGCTTTTCAGGGCTGAACACTTGATACTCATCCCAGCACTGGCCGTGGATGGACTCTGGGAGAACATGGGGACTCAAGAGTGGCTGTGTGCAGGGGGCTGAATGTGACAGGCGTTTCTGCCCGGGAACTGAACCCAGAAATGGGAAGAGATGATAAAAGTAAGAACTGGAAGGGAGCACATATGATGGTGGCTGAAAGTGCCTATGACGTCATCAAGCTAAAAGGACACACCAACTGGACCACTGGCTTCCGTCTGGCTGATCTCACTGAACCCGGCTGCAAATCTAGCCAGGATCCGTCCAGGGACATGATGGTGGAGGGAACGCATGGCACCGAGAAGGAAGTCTTCCTGAGCCTTCCGTGCAGCCCAAATGCTCCGGGATGACCCAGTGTGATCAACCGGAAGCTGGATAAGGAGGTTGCTCAGCTCAAGAAACGTGCAGACACCTTGCAGGACGTCCAGAAAGACTAAAGGCCTGTGACCTCCGGCTTCTAGGCTGTAGAGATTCCAACACCACCATGTGATGACCCGTGATCTCCTATTTTCGCCCACGTGCACCGACCACGGTTCACTGTCCTCCTCCTCTGTGTGACTCCGGGCTCTCAGACCCGACGCCCGCACGCGGTTCAGTGCTTGCAGTGTGAGCAGCACCTGGACATTTCTCCACCCATCAGGAAAAAACACAACCGGCCGGACGGATGCCAACTCACTCCTGGCGTCTGCAGCTGCCTCTGTAACCTGGAGAGCTGCTGTGCCAGGACCCATGGCAGTGCTGGGACCCTCTGCCCCCCGACAGTCACCAGGCAGGCACTCCTCCATGCCGATGGCCCGACACCACTTGGACCCCCAGCTGTCAAGTGCACTCTTCCAGCCAGGACATCGCAGCTTCTCTGGAAGACGCCCCAGGGGCTTCTGAAGTTTGGCGTTGCAAGAACTCCTCACGCGTACACTGACGACGAGCCTTTCCTTTATCACTCAAACCCTGAACTATGGGCCTCCAGCACTGCAGCTCCACCAGCACCGGGACCAGACGCAAAACCATTGTGTTCCGACACATGGACGGAAGGCGCGGACATCCGTGCATCTGATGGGAAGAGAGCCCTGGCGTGCTGTAGCTCCGCAGCTCAGTTCCGCCCAGCGTCTCTGAAGCGGCTCCCCCATCCCCCCCACCCCATGCATCGCAGAGCGCGGTGACAGCCCTTGGTGTGGCCACGGCTGCTGTGGGCTGAGAATGCACATCTCTCTGAGCCAACGTTCCCTACTTATATATGAAAAATGTTATGAATGTCCTTTTATTTTAGAATGTATCATTAAAAGCTACAATAACAGTTTCAGATAAAATTTAAAAATGTTTTTCAGAAATCTTCAATTTTATTGCAAAACAAGTCAGCCAAGTGCCCTGAGGTCCTGTTGTGTGTCAGGATCTCAACGCAAGGATTTACGGGATGACACTGAGTCAGTGATTATGGCAGACGCAACTGAAGATAGCTACTAAGAGCCCCGCAGAAACACCGAGGCCTCAAGAAATGTCTAAACCTGCACATATTTATACTGTAAACCTGAAACCTACTCCTACAGAAGATTCAAAAACAACAAAGCACACAGTCCAGCAGCCGCCAAAGCAACGACGTCACAGTCCAGTGTGCAGCCTCTGAAGACAGGCACTGCACACTCAGAGAGATCGGGGGGAGAACGCAAGGATCCTCTTAATGCTGTGACACGGTTACCATCATGCCCCTTGGGCTGTGCACTGACAGCCACTGTTGTAAGAACGAAGTGCCTCACAGGCCTTCCCGGCCAAGTAAGAGATTGCGCAACCTTCGGCCATCAGCAGCCCAGAGACCCTCAACCTGGAGGGAAGGGAAGAGAAGCTGAACAAAGGGAGGGAAGGCAAGAGGCCTCGGTCCTGCCAGGAAGCCAGGATGCAGGGCCCTGGGGAAGGCCCTAGACCCACAAGCCATCTGAGGAGTGACCCCACAGCTGCATCACAGAAGGTCCTTCTGAGGGACCCCGGCACACGTGGGCCCGGGAAGCGTGGGCACAGACCTGCCTGGAGTGTGCGGCCAGGTGGTGCCCACACCGTCCAGACGAAAGCCCCTTCCTCCCACACCAACACTCCTAAGCAACACCACTTGAGGAAGGGTAAACTCCCGACAAGGGCAGGTCATTCCACTGGGCTGACATCTAGCTGCACTTTTTCCAGAGACAGTAATTTCTAACGGTCTGCACTCCTAGTTCATGACCCACTGCTTCTGCTCTGCACCCTGCCTCCCCCTCTTACCCCTCTAGGCTCACCTAGCCCAGCCCTCCAACCAGCCTGCCTTCTCCCTCCAACCCCACGCCCACCCCAACACACCTCCCTGCTCATCCCTGAGCAAGACTCCCCCCTGCCCAAGTGAAAGGCGAAACTGTAAAAAAAAGTAAAGAAAGTGTCTTCTCACCATGACCAAGCTGGAAAACAGAAAACAAAAACATGGACGCGTTTGACTTTGTAAGAATTTACAACTTCTATACAAAAGTACGCACAAAAACCTGAAAGGATAAAGTGAAGAAAAATCTTTGTGAAACATAAAACAAAAATGTTCCTCATGTCCACGGCTCCCAGAGTCAATTCCAGAAAGACGGAAAATGTACAGGAAGAAAAATAGTCGAAAACCACGAGTACCTTGAAAGACAAACAACATGCCCAAGGGCATTTCCCTCAACTGGAACACAGATGCACATTCCCATGACCCATTTTTAGAACATCAGGGTGCGCAGGGGAGGCAAGAGAGCTGGGGGTTCCCCGGCACTGGGGCCACAGGGCACTGCATTCATGGGCTCCCCCACACTCCACCTGCCAACCCAGGGCTCCCCGTTACAACACCCAGGCAAGTGGGAAAATCGAAGAGAAAAGGATAATCTGTGACAGTAAACCCTTCAATGTCCCACACGCCTCACCCGGGGGCAGCAGTCATTTGGCCGGTGGTAAATCCGCATCAGAAAGCAGATGCTGGCAGGGCCGGGCTCATGCAGCCCCAAGGGCAGCAGCCCCGAGGGTCTCAAACCCACTCATCCCCCAGATCAACACCTCCAAACCCCCAATTCCAGCTGGACCCTTTCAGGGTCCTTGTTTCTGGAGCATTAATAGCAGCAAGGGAGGTGTGAGCCGGCGCAGGGCCCTGGCAGGCAGTGGAGACGGAGGCCAGGCGCACGGTGCTCTCGGTCTCCCGCCAGTCAGCTCCGCACGCTCCTCCGCTCTCCTAAATGGAGCGCTGCTCGCGTCCGTGAATTCTTACCAAGGGTTTCCACTGGCCTGCTTCTCCAGTAATAACCTCTTCTCATCTTCGGAGAACTCTAAGTCCAGTTCAAAAGAATTAGTGTCCAGGTCATGGATATACTGCTCGATGTTGCTGCCCGCCGTGTGTGGCAGGCCCGCATCCGCGGCGGACAGGGAGTGGGAGGATGACGACGAGGACACCTGCATGCAGCCGAACTGGCTCAGGAGGTTGTCGTACTGCACAGAGAAGAGGAAGAATGAGACCCACGTGCCACTTCCCCTGGGCCCCCAAACCAGACCCAGCAAGCTCACACCCCGGAGGTCCCGAGGCCCTGCGGCCACTGACTCCTCCTGCACTGGAGGGCAGGCCCCTGAACCAAGGCAGGACTGGACGCTGACAGTTCTGGTCCCCCTCCCGATGGGCTGAGCCCCAGTCCTCAGCCCCAGGAAGAGGAGACTCAGGACCTGGGGCCCGCTGACCTCTGCAAGCCCCTGCCACCCCAACCAGGGGAAGGAAGAGGAGGGATGGGTGGCCTCCTGGGCGCAGAGGCACCCTCCTGTGAGCTCAGGAGCCCTCCTCCTTGATGCTGTGATTCAGTGATTCTAAGTCTGTGGTTGTCACTCTATATCCCAATTGGACTGACCGCATTCAATTAAAAAAGTATATATCCCGTTTAACTACGGCAAGTATTAAACTTGGTACAGAGTCGTGTGCTCTTCTGGAAAAGACTACAGACCGGTGGTGACAGAAAAATGGACTTCCTCATAGATGTGGCAAACAAGTGAGGCCTGTGCAGGCAGACACCCCTGGGGCCAGCGAGAGGGCCAGGGAGCCCCCAGCAGAGACCTGAGGAGGGGCGCTCGCCCTTGACAGCCTGCTCCGCGCAGCTGCGAGCCCCACGCCTGAACCCCACTGCTGCCAAATACGAGGCAAAGAGCCACCAGCCATCGCTGAGACCAGAGTCTGTGTGTCCTTCCAAGTCCCCTGTGCCTCCACAAAGGCCCGGGCTGCCTCCCTTGAAGATGGGCCCCAGACAGAGCACCCCCACCCCAGCCCTGCAGACCGTGTCCCACCCTCCCTACTCACTGCCGGGAGTGGTCTTCTCCCTAGTGCTCGCACGGCACAGACAGCAGGCTCAGCCCCACCTCACCGGCTCCTGGCTGGGACTGACCCTGGACCGTCCCATGGCCCGTCATCTAGGTAAGGTCTTCTAGCACATTCTCTGCTTCTGCTCTGTAAGGACTCCCTGGGCCAAGGCCGCCTCTGTTCAACATCCCGAAGTTCACAGAGGCTTCCATGAGCACTCGCTGCTCCTGCACGGAGGCTCTCTCCCAGGGCTCCCCACCTGGCCCGCTCCCTCCAGGGCCAACCGCCAGCACCACCACCAGCCACGGCAGCGGATCAGGAACACACAAGAGAAGCGAGCGCCTGTGCTCTCTGTTCACTGAGCAAACACCGTTCCCAGTCCCTTGCCCCCGGAGGGAGCCCCCTTCCTGCTGAAAAGGACCGCAGGCTCTCTCGGGGCCTCCCGCACGAGAACACGCCCCTGCGAGACTGTCAACGGCCACAGACCGGGAGCGCCCCGTCCCGTGTGTGACACCTCCCCGGGGCTAGGCTCCCTGCACCGTCCGCGCGGAGAGTGTGGCACAGCGAGGGCTGCCTGAAAACCCACCAAGGCTTTCCAGCCCCGCAGCTTTGAAAGCTGAGGCTCGGCCCCCACCAGAAGGAAGCCACTGACCAAGGGAGCTGGCTTTACGATGGCCACACCCGACACGGAGAGGCCGGGGCTCTTGGCGCAGCGGACGCGACGTGCTGGCGGGCAGACGGCCTGCCCAAGACCCTGACCGTGCGTGCACACGTGTGTACAGGCACACACAGCTCCACGAAGCTGAGCCCCCAGGCGCTGAGCCCTGAGTCAACAACGGCGCAAGTGGCCGCTGCGGAGCTGGGGGACGCCCCCGCCCACCCACTCTGACCGGCGCGGCCCGGGAAGGACGTGAGGCCCAGGAGGACGGAGTCTTGAGGCGGGGTCCCCCGCAGTCTGCACACGCCGAGGCCGCCGGCAGCCGAGACCACCGCAGTGCGGGAGGCAGACCGGGAGTGAGTGCAGACGGCTACCCACATCTAACCCCCTTCAAGTCTGGGCACAAAGGATGTTTTAGGACAACGAAAGGGTGATGTGTTGTTTACAACAGTAAGCAGGAGACAGAAGAAACTCGGTCCCTGGGAGAAGATATGAGCAGTAACTCTGACTAAGCTCTGCATGACTTCTAGAGAAAATCTAAGCTCCCCAGTCAATTACTGCGGCACTCTACACACGGGAACTGGCTCGAATGAGCCGTGATGACAGAAGTTACGCCGCGAGAACGGACTGCGGATGGTAACACAAACATGGGAAATCAGTTTTAAACACAAGGGCTCACGGTAGAGGATGAGGAAGGAGCACAGGACGGCCAAGGAGCCGGTCACGGGTGGTGTGAGGGAGATGCGTGCCGCTCGCTGGCCCCCTCTGCCCACTCCTGTCTTCACCTCCCCCATCAGGATGTTCAAACAACGAAGTATACTCAAGACCCCACCTCGACCACACACTAAAAGCCAAAAGTGACCAGTGTCCAGCCTCAATGCCACGTCCCCCAGAAGTTCAAAACAGCAGCACCCTGGGCTTCTTGAACACGAGAAGCATTCCAGAATGTCTCCAGACACAGGATTACAAGGCACCACCCAAAAGCAGAAGACAGAAGCCCAGGGGGACAGCATATCGGGTTCTGCTCCCACGGGCTCCAGTCTCCTCAACCCAACAGCAGGCTCCCTCTGGGTGAAAACGAACTACAGGAAGTGCCCTCACTTCCTGGACCTGGCAATCTGTGCTCGGGGCAGATGGGCAGGGGGTGCTTCCCTGGCCCCCTACTGGGGAGACTTGGATGGGGGCTGCACAGTGCTCAGCCACCAACAGGTCTATGCTGGCCCCCCTCCAGCCACGTATCCCACAGGCTGGGCTCCCAGAGCCCCAGCACAGACCCGCTGCGCACCGAGGAATGATGGCACACGGCACCGTGGGGCTGTCCCCGACACACACATGCATGTGCATACGCACACCCACAGACACACCCACGCATATGCCCACCCCAACACACACACAGAGTGCGTGCACACTCGCACACACACACCACACACTCACAGACGCACACGGGCCACGCTCGGGTGCGCGCGTGCACAGGCCATTGGGCTCACGTTTCCATAGCAGTCCTCGTCGTCCTCCGACATGGCCGGCAGGTAGGCGGTGAGCTTCGGAGGCGTCTGATGCTGCAAGTTCTCCCACATGATGGACTCGAAGAACGGATGAGCTCGCAGGGGGCCATAGCCTCCCATTTCCTCACAGCCTAATCGCTTTGTGGCATCTAAAACCTGAAACAGAAGCCAACACGTGTCAGTCCGGACCGACTCTGACTAAAACATTCTCTGAGCACTCCTTTTCCTTCAGTGTCCTGTGGCCTGTTCCGCCCCATCCCACGGTGTGCTGGGGACGGCGGAGTCACCTCGGGGCCACATCTACCTCTCTCAAGCTCCTAGCCTTCCCCTCACAAAGGTGAAAATAACCCAAAATCTAATGAATAGCAGCAAGTGTTCTCTTTAAATACACAAATTAAAAATGCTACAACCAAGAAAAAAATGAACACACTGTCTTTAAGAACAAGGAGACGGAGGGTCTGTCCGGACAGCGAGCTACCACAGACAGAACACAAACGCCGTGTGATCCCACCGTGCTCACCTCAAAGTGAAGCGGTCTCCTCCCAGGTTCAGCTTCGTGCCCCTACACCCACCGAGCGCCAGCACGCTGCCCACTGACGGGCCAGGCCGAGCCGGGACCGACCCTGTTCCCCAGGACGAAGGGAAAGTGAAGGGGGGTCCGGCAGCCGCGTGTCGGGGAAGGGGCTCTGCGGCTGCTCAGCACAGACGAACACGGCTTTCCTGAGCACACGCCTGCCTTGTCCGTAGCACCCGGGTGACCGTTCAAGCCCCCTGCAGCAGACGCTATGGCTGACGGCCAGAAATGTCACCGTGCAGGGTTTACAGCCACCTGCACTGTGACACGCCCAGCCGCTCCAGCAACCAGTAACTTAAAATGCTCTGCGTGCTGACGGACAAGTGCGAAGCGACACAAAGACTTCCTGTCCTGCTAAGCCAAGAATCGGGCATCTGGAAACTGAAAAGGACTTACAGAGATGAGACAGATGACACCAATCTACCCACACTCGCTATCAACCCGAAGACACCCTTTGGTTAAACACAGGAGCCTCCAGGAAAGCTGCTCTGACCACAGGTTCAGAGGGACTCAGTGTGTGTCTGTCCGATCAGCGTGCAGAAGAAAATTCAGAATATTTACCAAAAGTTTTTCCACAAGGTCTCTTGCCTTAGGGAAGAATTTTTCAGGGAAGTCATATTCCAACTTAATGATCTTCTGAAATATAAGATATTCATTTCTGTAAAACAAGAAAAGCCATCACTTTGACAGAGTGACGAAGCTCCCCAACACAGAGCTTTAACATTCCTGGCCCAGCAGTCACCCTCTCTCCCTGCAGAAGCCCCCGAACCCTGGCCCAGCCCTGGCCCAGCCCCAGGGGCTGCCCCCTCCCACCTCTGTTGCATCTGCTGCAATGGGCGCGGGGGCGGTGGGTGGGCTTACCCCGCTCGAAAAGGCGGCAGTCCGGCCACAAGCTGGTATATTATACATCCGAGAGCCCAAAGGTCTGAACTTTGAGGGAAAAAAGAGAAAAGAATGACATTTGTAAAATTTCCGTGACAAGCACAGTTCACTTCTGACCACGCCGTTTCAGCCTCTGATCTACTTCTGTCCTTTAAAACCAGGTCAATGTGAGGCTGGGAAGCTACTTGGGGTCCTTCTGGAGGGGGCTCCCTGGGGACCTGGACTCCGAGGATCCCAGACACAGCAGGCACCATGGGGCCAGGCTGTGCAGCCATTCCCACAGACCTGCCACTGCCCGTGGGGGAACCCAGCTTCCTCACAGGACCCGTGTGGACCTGAAGAGGCAGCAGAGGTCACTCCTGACTAAAGAAACATGGACAGTGACAGAGAAGCCTTCTTCCAGCGCGGGGAGGCGGGTAGCGGTACTGGTGAGGGGGCCTTGGCACGCACTGCAGGCGGGTAGAGTGAGGAACCAACTTCCATCCTCTCACATCTCCAGCGTTTCCCCCCAGGCCACAGATGCAAGCCAGGGGCCGAAGGAGACAATCCATACGAGGTGCACAAAGCAAGCTTTAACTCTGTCCCTTCTTGGACTCATGAAAATCCCTACTCCTCCTTTATAAACACTTTAATTCCACATTTTACAAGAAACAGTTCTAAACTTCCCTAAGTTGTTTCCAGAACCAGCTGGCAGGGACCCTGGAGGGGGCGCTCTCCTCACCCGTGATGCCGCCACTCCCTTCCCACCCCACCCTGCCCTCGCGCGCCCCTCGGCGCCCCTCAACGCCCTCTCAGAGCTCACGGCTGACACCGACCTTGCCTATCTGGTTTCCTCGGGACGTCTTTCATTCTAGCCCCAGCTCAGCACTACAAAGGCATCGAGACACAACTCCTCCCGCACCATCAGCTGCCTTCCCTGAGCCCCCAGTGTGTGAGGACACAACCAGCTTCTGGAAAAGGCCACAGCCTGGACCTCGGAGATGAGACCATAGGGCGCAGGTGGAAGGACCTGGCCAGCTGTGGTGCCGAAGGACACGTGACACAGGTTAGAACATAAAACAGATCAGAAATCTGAGGCATGACATACAAGTGGAGTGAGGGGCACTTAGAAAACAAATCTACATTCTACCCAATAACTAGTTTTATACTCGGTTTTCTCTACTGTCTAGTTAAAACGGGGAGCCACACAAGACAGACACCAACAGAAAAGCCTTGGCCCTTGGGAGTGGCAGCGGCTGGAGACTAGGCGGCAGGCTATTGGGGGGGCTGCCGTCTCCAGAAAACAGGACTGGCGGCACAGCCAGGCCCTGGGCTCCGCTCGCCGTGTGCATTATCTCAGTGTCTACCACCAGCAGCTCTCCTACCATTTAAGATGGTTTGTTAATATAATAAACCCTGAAGAGGGAAGCTGGTGTAACATTTCTGGAAAGCAGTATGTACCAAGGAGTTTTTAAAAAATTTATTTATTTGACAGAAATCATAAGTAGGCAGAAAGGCAGGCAGAGAGAGAGGAGGAAGCAGGCTTCCTGCTGAGCAGAGAGCCCGATGCAGGGCTTGATCCCAAGACCCTGAGATCATGACCTGAGCCAAAGGCAGAGGCTTAACCCACTGAGCCACCCAGGTGCCCCACAAGGATTTTTAAAATGCTAAGTTAGACCAAGTCATTCCTCTTCCTGCAATCCAAGCAGAGGACTGTGAGGCAGCCCCAGCAGACTCGGGACAGGCATGGGCACCCTTCCATGCTGGGGCCTGGCATGTGCTGCACGTGGCAGTCAAGCCAGATTGTGCGACGGAAAGGAAAAGCACCTGGCTGCCAAGAGTTAAGGAAGAGCTCAATGGACTACAGTAAATCCACGTGCTGGAAGGGCACAGGTGTCACAGATGTCTACACATGACCTCAGGGACACGGAGAGATGCTGGTGCCATGACCCCAGGAACAGGCTCAAGCTGAAGTGTCACATGAACCTGCAGAAGTATGCAACTGGAAAGACACGCCAGGTCACTATCTGGCGTCCGTCAGCAGGCGGGAGACGCCAAGTGTTTCTTGCTCTTTTACCTTCCATGTTTTCTAAGCGTTCTTTATAAAACACAGGTGTCACTTTTAGAATCAGAAAAGAAATCTTAACTATTTTTGAATAAATATCATGATTTAAAACATTTAAAAGTGTAAGAAGATACGCAATGAGGTCTCCCTCACAGAACTATCTCCGCAGGCCCCCTGAGGGCCACTGTCCCCACTTCTGGTGCACCCACCCAAGAGAATTTCAATGACAGACAAGTCAATGTGGGGTAGACATTCTCTTTCCAGTTTTCCCACAGAAGGCGGTGGCCACTCTGTGTCTTCCTAGCTCACCCAGTAGAGCCCCCATCGGTGCTACAGGGCTGCTTTATGCTAAAAACCCCAAATCGAGGGAAAGCTAGCCCTTAGGCAGCCATGAGACATGCTTCAAGAATCTGGGCCATAGCACCCACCACCCAGAGGAGGGTTTCCCAGCCTTGGCTCTACGGACCCCCGGGGCCGATTCACTCCTGCTGCGGAGGCGCATGTGCTTCTCACCACGCCGAGCAGGGTCCCCGGCTTCCACCTGCTAGTCAGCAACAGCACTCCCCTTCCCACCCCTGCCAAGTGGTGACAGCAGAAGCGTCCAGACAGGTCCCAATGTGCCCCAGCTGAGAAGCCCTGCCCTACAACTACATCTGGCCCATGGTAAGAGTTCCCAATCTGTTGAGTAAGAGTAAAAAACAAAAACACAGAACCCAGAGACCGCTAAGTGGCCCAGCCACCTTCATGGCTCCCTATGGCTCTAGCCCCCAGAGAGTCATTAAAAAGCGGTCACACTCAGCAACAGAGCCACCCCAGAGCCACTCAGTCTTCTGCTGCCTCTGGCAGGGCTCTGTCTCTCAGAACAGCGGGTCCTTGCAACCGGTCAGTTGCAAGGTGTCAAAGTGTCAGTACAGGACACTGACCATGCAGCCCTCCGGCAGCTCGAGGGAGCCCCCACCCCGCGCCCCAGCAGCAAAGAGCCAGGGGGAAGCTCCAGCCGCAGAACCTGTCATCCGAGACGGCTCTCCACACGGAGACCCCAGACCCTACTGCCCCCTCTCTGTCCTCCGCCTGCCTCGGGCCCACACAAGGCCGCTCTCCCAACTTCTCCCTGCTCCTAGCCATCGGCTGCCCCACCCTCTTCTCCCCCGCTGTCCCGCTGACTCTTCACTCTCCAGACCTCTTTCTGTGAGCAGAACCTCACCCATGCACCTCTCATTTTCAAGACTCAGGCCCTCAACCCAGACCCATGCCAGTTCTAAGGACTGGGTAGGGATAGCTCGCACTGGCTGGGCCCTGGCAGTGAAACCAGCTCCAACCCTCCCACACGGGCTGCCTTCCCGGCCTCTCCCCACACTCCGAGGAGCCTGGTTTGCTTGAGCTGACCTGTCACCTGCCACCGCCAGGGAGCACCAGCCCGAGGCAGCGCAGAGGCTCAGGGACACGGCAATGACTACAGACCTCTTGGCCACACGTCTCCCCCACTGAATAGTTGCTCCTAAAGGAACAAGATCAAATCTCAAAGCATCGAGCCGCAGTAGCCCCAGAAAGTGTAACACAGAACAACAGAGAGCACACAGGTTATCCGAGAAAGATACTGACTAAGGTCCCAAGAGGCACTCTCGTAACTGTTAACTGTACGTGAAAAAACAGACGTCACAGCTACCGTGGAGAACAGAAAACAGTCTGGATCAAGTGAAAGCAAGTTACCTTTTACAGGCCGACTTCTCGGTGAGCAGCTCTGGAGACACATACTGGGCTGTTCCTACAAACGAGTTGGCCCTGGCTGATGAGAAGAGGAGAAAGGGAGGACGGTCACACACTGAGACAAGCATTCCGCAGCGCTGCACCGCGGGCACTCACCCACCGGGACATCCCGGCTCGCTGGCAGGACCGCAGCTCTCGGGCACAGCACGAGTCCCCTGGAATCGGACTGTACACTCCCGAGCCCCTTCCCGGTCCAGGGCCCTCCCCTCAAACCCCCTTTTTTGGGGCTCTCTCCTCCAAGAGTTGGCTCAAAGGTCACCCGCTCCGTGACACCAGCCCTGACGGCCAGGGCAGTCCCTCCAAGCCCCCCGGCCGCACAGACACACCAGAGAGGCATTGGCCCCGCCTCCCGTTACCTGGGAGCATCTTGAAGACAGGCGGCCCGTCTATCTGGTTCACTATTGCACCTGTGGTGCCGAAAACGGCCCCAGACACACAGCAGGCACAGAAGGGACACGTGCAGATGTGGGAACAGGCCTGACCCCGTGAAGGCTACGCGTCCCTAACAGAGCCCATGGAGGTTAGGGGCACTGAGGGGAGTGAGACCCAGGAGCTCCAGACAGGGAACCTTCTCCACACCCACCGCTCTCAGTATGGGCTTGGGGAACACCAGGTCTGCCAAGCTCGACCCACAGACCCCCAGGGTCAGTGACAGCAGGAGCCTCTGGACCTGCCCGTCACACAACAGATGACGCACCACCAGCTGAGCCATCCCAGCGCATTGTGTGTCCCCTGACATAGGGGACAGTAAAGCTATTCTGCCTTTCCCTGTCACCGACAGACAAAGAACCGGGGTTTCCATGGGACAGCTGCCCACTGTGTGAGCGTGTGTGAAATGCTGTGTCACCTCCGACACCCCCCAGGAGACGCCCCCCATCACTTGCCGTGACCTGCCATGCACGGTCTCCCACCCCAGCCCCATGTGAACAGCACCCTGCGCGCGCACGGAACAGCTGTGGGCAAGGCTCCCGCCCTGCTCGGACAGGACCCCGGAGGAGACTACCTTTCCCAGCAGCAGGGTCCAGCTCGGCTCTGTCTCCTGTCCAGCACCCCGTGGCAGACGGGAGACCGAACCGCAGATTAACATCGTTTTGCTCCAGGCAAACAAGCCCCGTGACTGAGCCTGACCCTCTCACAGATCAAATGGTCTTTCTTCTCAGTATCTTTAATAATCCCTGCTAGAAAGTATTTGTCCCTGAGGACACATTTTCCTGAACTGACCTGAGAAGTGAAACATCACAGCAACACACCTACCAGCGAACAACCTCCAGCCCTCCAGGCCACGGCTGAAGCCAGGGACACCGGAGGCAGCAACCAGCCCCACGCAGGGCCCTGCCAGGTGGGCTTACTGACAAGTGTCTGAGCTTCTCTACTCAGGGCTCTCAGCGGGGGACAAGCAGGCCCCCGGGGGACATCTGGCAACGCCGGGAGACATTTCCCGCTGCCACAGCAGGGGCGTGAGGGAGCTCAGGTCACCTCGTGGACAGACCCCACAGGCTACAGACAGCAGGAGCACCCCAGCGCCACACGTCCCCAGGCCCTGGGTGGCCTCTGTGCAGCCTCCCTGGGACAGGGCTCTCCCACCCTCTGGAGGCACAGCCGCAAACAGAACAGGTGGAACCAGCCCCATTCTGGGACGTTCTGGAGGACAGGGAGCCGGGGAAGGGAGAAGAGCCAAACGTCCCTCACTGTCCCTGCTCGGCTGTGTGTCTGCTGAGTCGGGGGAAGCAACCTTCTCCTCCTGCACTGACTGGAGGCTCTGAACTGGGCACCTCAGCCTGGTGCTGACAGAGAAATGACTTGAGGTTACAGCTACCTGGGTCAAACACAACAGACCCATGTTTGGTCGGTCTGCAAAATTCTTGACCGTATATGGCTATAAATAGCACATCTGAATTAAAATGCAAACGGAAACCAGGGCGCCCAGCCACAGCAATGCGGCACACGGCGTCTGGGCTGAGAGAGGCCACCGCATCCCCGCTCACCACCCCTGTGGTGGCCTTGAAGTGCGGGGGCTCACCATGGGGGAGACTCTCGACCAAGAGACACAGACGGAGCCAGTGTACTCGCTCTTCCCCACGTGTCCCCAGACATGGTCTCTGTCTTCGTCAGCGTTCCAAGGGGCGATCCTGGGTACTGGGGCCCTGGGGTCAGCAGGAGCCCCCAGGGGAAGGCAGGGGAGAGCCACGGGCGCTACCCTTCCTGCCTCACACCATGCCACACCCCTCTCCTACCACGATGCCCCCACCTGCCCCGAGCTCGAGAGGCTCACAGTCCCCCTGTGGGGATCCAGCCCTGTTGCCTCCTTGGCCCTGCTATACTCAACTCTCCCCTCAGCCAATCACTCTCCCACGCAGACTGCGGCTGCATCTGCATCCTGCCAGGACCCTGAGCGACACTGCCAGGAGCACTGAGGTTACTGAGAAGAGGAAAAAAGAACCCGAGAGCCAAAACCAAATGAAACCGTTCAATGATGCAATGAATCAAAGAAATGCAAATGAAAACAGCGAAAGTAAAAAAGGAAATACACACCGTCGACAAGGATGTGAGAGGACACGCACACCCAGTGCTACCGGTGGGAATATGGAAGGGTGTCGTTTTCAGGGGAGCAATTTTACAAAAAGCACCAAAATCCACAGAGAACAAACTTGCCCTCTGAGCCAGCAGCTCGACCCTGGCACCTCGCCCTCAAGGACAGATCCAGCACAGGCAGGAGACAGACACGGACCCTGGGAGCCCCGCTCGGTAATTCACAGCCTCCACTGGGCGTCTGTTCTGCACAGGCAGCACGCGCTGCTTCCGCAATTTTTTTTTTTTTTTTAAGATTTTATTTATTTACCCGAGAGAGAACAAGAGTGCTCGAGAGCACAGAAGATGAGGGAGAAGCAAACTTCCTGCTGATCAAGGAGCCCCACATGGGGCTCGATTCCAGAATCCTGGGATCACGACCTGAGCCGAAGGCAGACGCCCAACCAAATGAGCCACCCAGGCACCCCTGAGATTCGTTTTTTTAATGCTATTATTAAAAAGTTCTAAAACTGTATTTTTGTATGGAAAGATTTGTGCATAATTAACTAAGTAATTCATAAGTAAATAAGTAATTCAATAATTTTGCCTTTAAATAGCTACAGGATGCACCAAATAAAGTCTAAAAGACATACACCGTTCCCGCCCCAGCCCGTGGGGCTTTAAACAGTGAATCAGGATGTTATTAGGGCTGCGTGGTTGCTGCAGGCTTTCTGGGCCTGGCATGGCTTGTCTCCCATGACACCTGCTGCTTCCTCTCCCCCAGGAGCCCATGCACACCTTCATAGAGGTGGGACTCCAAGTCCCCAGGGAGGTATGAAACCCACCCCGAGGACAGGAGCTCTCGTTAGTCATGAGATGAAAGACTCCTCTGGCGTGTGGAAGAGAAGAGGACTACCCTCAGAGTGATGTTCTAGAAGCATAAAACATGCAGGATGAGACAAAGGACGAAAATACCAAAATATTAAAGCAGTGACCGTGAGCTGTAACAGTACGTGATTTTCTTTATCGATATAACAACGAGATCTGGCAGGTCTAACAGAATTCTGAAGCCGGAATGGGCACACGTAACAGATCAGGAAACTGACAGCCGAAGGGGCGCGTGGGGGGCGCAGTTGGCTGACTGCTCCAGCTCCTGGTTTCAGCTCAGGTCAAGATCTCGGGGTCGTGGGATGAGCTCAGCGGGGAGGCCGCTGGAGACTCTCTCTCCCTCCGTTCCTCCCCCAACTTACAGGTGCTCTTTCTAGAATAAATAAATAAATCTTAAAACAAACCAACAAACAGGAACCCACGACAACTCTAAAGGAACAGAGGGACGCATGTGACCGCCCCGGATGAGCGCAGGCACTTGTTGCCCACCTTCACAGTCAAAGAAACGTTTCATTTCACTGAAAGTTTGGGGAAAACAGGCAACTTTTTCCTCTCAGCTTCACGGACAGCCGACTTCTATGCATGACAACTAGGGTAAGAGCCATAGAGAGCATCAGAAATGCAGAGACAACCTAGTTCCCTGCCCCCAGGCTCAGAGATGAACCGAAGGCCAAACTGCTCTACCAGTTAGAAAACCAGGCCTACAACCCAGCACTGGCCGGAACGCTGCCGTTTCCACGCCACTGACCCACTGGAAGCAGGCCACAGGGTGAGGGTAAGGAAGAGGGTCTCGGGCTGGGCTGCTGTGTGCACCCTGAAAGTGAGTCAAAGAAACTGACCAGCATCCTGGGCCGTGGAACACTCCGGCCACTGCCCCGGACTCAGAAGTGCCAGTGACGACGAAGCGACCTCAAGCGATGTTCCTGCGCTCAGCGAACACCTACACTCTCCTCAAAGCTGGCGGCGCAGACTGCCGGTCTCTTACCCGTACGCCCACAGGTGAAGCCCAGCAATCGCACTCCTCCAGCGGGCCGCGCTCTTGACCGAAGATGAGTGAACTGAGCACGGCGACACGTGAGAAGGAGTCTGCACCGCCGCCAAGTGGCGTTTATCCCGGGAGCACAAGAGTGGTTCAACGTGTAAAAATCAATCAGTATACTATGTGTCATCAGCATAAAGGGGAAAAAAAACACACGATCACCTCAACAGACTGAGAAAAAGGATCTGACGAACTAACACTCCTTCGCGACAAGCATGCGTCACAGAGTAAGAACAGAAAAAACCTCCTCAGCTGGTCGGGGCGTCCAGGAAAGCCCCACGGCGAGCGTCCCGCTCGACGATGAGAGACGGAAGCCTCTCCCCTCCCATCAGGAACACGACAAGGACACCTGCCCGGGCCCCGCCTGCTCCGTATGGCCCTGGAGCTCCGACCACGGCAGGGAGGCAAGGGGAGACAACAGGCATCCAGAGCGGAAACGAAGAAATGAAACCGTCTTAAATCACAGATGACTTGATCTTACACAAAGTTTTGAGGAATTCATTAAAAAACGATCACAGCTAAGAACAAAGTCCTGCCAGGCTACAGACACAAGATCAGGACACAAAAATCAAGTGTGTTTCTGT